GACGTGGAGGGCAGAGAGGGAGGACAAGGTAATAGCAATGGGAGCTTCGGCTTATTCACGGCTGTGACTAGACTAGGGACCCGCAATGCTCTCATCCTCACTATTCTGCCCTGCCTTTTCTAGTCTCTTGATATAGCCCCTTATATGACTGGGGACCCATGTTCACCTGATGCTCCCTTGGGAATTCTTCATTGATCTTGAAACCTACTACCTACATTCCTTTGTCCTAGACCATCTAAAACTAGGTTCAGTTTATTTCTTTAAAAAATATTTATTACTTTATTTATGTTCGTGTGTTTTTGCCTGCATATGTTTATGTGCTCCACATGTATGCAAGAGACTCTTGGAGGCCAAGAGTGTTGGAAACCATGAAGCTTGAGTTACAGGCTGCTGTGAGTTGCCTGGCTTGGGCTCAAAACCAAACTCAGGTCCTCTGCCAGAACAATAGGCTGTCTTACCACTAAGCCATCTCTCTAGCTCCAGGTTCAAATTCTAAAACCTCCAAAGACAAACTTCTGGAGCATCTAACTTTACTCTCCCTGGCTATCTCACCAGAAGGGCCTATCTTGTCCCCCTAGGAATTCTAAGTGTGACCTTCTGGACTATCCCCCGTGGTCTAGCCTTGTTTCAGAGTAATAGAGTAGTCATTGGCTACATGTGGGTATTGAGAATTTGAAATGTGACCTGTCTTAATAGAGATGTGCTATAAGTAAAGTACCAAGTGAATTTCAAAGACTTCATATGAAGAGTGTAAAATAGCTCATTAATAATGTTTATGTTGATTGTATATTGAAAGAGAATCATATATAGAGACTTAAATAAGATTTATTATAAAAAATAATTTCACTTGTTTCTGTTTTGTTTTCTTTCTTTTTTTTTTTTTTTTTTTTTTTTTTTTTTTGGTTTTTTGAGACAGGGTTTCTCTGTGTAGCTTTGCGCCTTTCCTGGAACTCACTTGGTAGCCCAGGCTGGCCTCGAACTCACAGAGATCCGCCTGGCTCTGCCTCCCGAGTGCTGGGATTAAAGGCGTGCGCCACCACTGCCTGGCTGTTTTGTTTTCTTAAATGAAATGATACATGGTTTATATTTTACTTCACTGAACCATGCTGCACCAGGTTTCTCCACACCCCTTTCATGGGTCTAAGGGTTACATGAGGACTCTTAAGATAATTTTAATTTCATTTCTTCTCATAGGAGTCATGGAACAGTTTGCTATTTCTGAGGCTACACTTATGGCCTGGTCTTCCATGGATGGTGAGGACATGAGTGTGAATTCGACCCAGGAGCCACTGGACTGCAACTACAGTGACAACTACCAGGAGCTGATTGAGAGTCAAGGTGAGAGGCGGTTCTAGAATCCAACCCCTAATGCCTAAGAGGCTTCTCAGCAATTTGGGCTCCCTCTGCCCTCTTCTGTTCTTTTAGGACTTTCCTGTTTGCCTCAGCTTCTCCACTACCCCCATACCTACACTGTAACCACATGATAGGAGTTCTGTGCGCTCTTCTCACTCGCTGTCTGCGATGTTCTGTGGCTTCTCCAACCTTGCTCATTCTCTTTACAGATGCACTAGCTCAAGCCCCCATGGATGGATGGCCTCACTCCTATGTGTCACAGGGAATGTACTGTCTGGGGTCATCAGATGCCTGGGAAGCGAGTGATCAGTCCCTCATTGCATCTCCAGCTACAGGATCCTATCTTGGCCCTGCATTTGATGACTCACAGCCTAGCCTGCATGACATGGGACCTTCCCAACCTGCTTCAGGATATTCTGCTCAGGAGCCTCCACCTTTCTTGGGGGTGGACACTGACTGGGCACCAGAGGTTGGTGGGGTGGACCTGGCCAGGGGATCTGTAGAGGAAGAGAAGAGACCACTGGCCCCCGAGGAGGAAGAGGATGCAGGATGCCGGGACCTGGAGTCACTTTCTCCACGAGAAGACCCGGAGATGTCCACTGCTCTTAGCCGGAAGGTGTCTGATGTCACGTCCTCAGGTGTGCAGTCCTTTGATGAGGAGGAGGGGGATGCCAACAACTAGCTTCTTCCCGCCCCACTCTGACCTGAGGGGCATGGCTGCAACCCATACCCTCCCAAGCTCCAGCAGCACAGATGAAACCCAGGCAGAAGACAGCGAGGAACTGGGAGCTTTCAGCCTTCACCAGCCCGCTAGCAGCCCTGGAAAGGGAAGGACCAGCAGGGGGTTTTATCTAGGCTTGTACTCCAGAAACCATCATTCCAGGAACTGAGACCCAGGCAATTAGGTGGCTGTGAACCTGGCATGGTGGTGGGAGATGAGCCATCGCTATGGTTCTGGGGTCCATGCCCAGGTGCGCTGTGTTGAACACTGAATCTCAGTTCTTACACCCCTGATTCCGTCTTCCAGGAGCCTTGGCTGTGCTGTCTGAATGCCTCCTTTCTCCATTTCACTCCTGCTTTTCTGATTCTGTTTTCTCTGGCTATGGCATCAGTGCATCCCCACTGTGGGAAAGCAGGCCTCAGGGGCTGTTGGACATGGCTTGGCGGTGACAGGAGAGTGGCCTGAACGGCCCTTCTGTGTTTAGCATAGACACTGTGCCCAATTCAGGCAATCTTTGGCTTCTGGGATCAGGAGCCAAGGACGAGATGGACATAGCAGCTGGGATTGACAGAGGTCACACAGTATGATTCTTTATCCCAAAGTCCACTCAGAAACAGGAGGGTCACCAATGAGACAAAGAATAAACACAGCCACTTGAATGTCCTGTGGCTGGAAGGAGGACCTTTAGGATACGGAAGAAGGCTCAGTAGGGTTGGTTACTCCAATTCTGGCTTCCCTTTATACCTTCTTCCACTTAGAGCCCAGACCCAAGGAGGGTGAGCGGGCACCAGTCTCAGATTGTTGACCTAGGATGCATTGTCCCCGTCAGTGAGGGTACCGTGAGGGCTGGGCCTCCCTCTACCTTCCCCTAATTCTCTGGAGCTGTTTACACTTTTCTCTTTGCCTTTTCTACATTTTTATAACTTCTTGGGGACTCAGGGTTGAGCAGAGTGGAGTGGGGAGTCTGGTGCTGTCACTGCCTTGGCTGGGCTGGGCTGATGGCTGAGGGCCAGGGTGGACACTGGCTGCTTCTGCGTTCCTGTCAGCTGTTCCCAGTGCTCCTCCGCCCATTGTTCCTTACAGGACTGGTTGTGGTGAGACATAAGCTTGCCCTCCCACACCTCCCCTGCCATTTGGAGCGGACCATGAGGACAGGGAACAGCAGCAAGTCAGTGCAGTATTGCTATGAGGGTGCTGGAGCAGCCGTAGCCTCAATCCGGCCCTTGGCTTAAACAGTTTCAATAGGAGATGCCCAAGCTTGTCACTCCGTTTTTCTTCTTCCTCCTGTCTGTCCCTGGCTCCAGTTCCAAGGCTTTGTGTCCCACTCTAACTGTCAGGGGTCCTAAACTACTCCCTCACCCACAGGAACGATGAGGCTCAGAGCTGGAGTGATTCTGTTCATCCGTGACTCTGTCCTGCACCACATTCATACACTGACGTGTAACCAGAGTCGGTGTCTCACATCCTCCAGGGGAGGGGGAAGCATAGGATCCTGGGGTCTGTTCATGTAGGAAACATAGGAGTAGACCTGGAGAGCCAAGAGAGGTGAACAGTCACGTAGCTCATCTAACGCTGCCTGAATGGGAGAGGATACCTCCTGTGTGCCAGTGTGTTGTGGTTTAGCCTATCAGGACCTCATTTCTAGGACTAGGAAGGGCTAGCCTGCCAACCCTGGCAACTGCCCCTAACCCCTGGTCTTCTGTCCTAGCTCCCTGGGAATTTGCATGTTCAAGCTAAACTACTCCCAGGGTCTCTCTGCCTTGTCTAGCCTGCTCTATCAACATGTTTGTCTCATCTCAGTGCCCCCGCAGTCTTCCCCGAGGTGACGGTGGACATTGAGTCCAGTGAGCAGGTTTATTCACGTGGATCCCCTTTTGCTCAGGGCCCTGGAGAGTTAGGAAGACTAAACTAAAACAGCTTTCCTTCCTCCTCCCATTCCTCAAGGAAGCCAAATGGTCCCCTATGAAAGACTACAAAGGACCTGAAGGAACTTAGTAGGGTTTGTACCTGAGCAGGGCTTGGTTTCCCCAGGCTGCTGGCAGACTGCCACAAAGGCAGGTGAGCCCCACCCCACTCTGAAGAGAGAAGACTCAAGGAGCTGGCCCAGGACCATTTTGAACTTTTTTGGAGGGAGGGACCACCTCTCTGGTGCTGGGGGCAGGGTGCATGGGGGTTTGCTTCTGGCCTACTTTAAGGGGAGGGGTGGGGCATGTGCAGGAAGAGGCTGTTAGGGGTGGGTGGGAAGGGTTGCTTTTCCTTTGGGGTTAAAAGCTGTGCAGCACGTTTTACAGCAGCTGGGGAGCAGGGCTGTTTTTTATATTCTTGTGAATGGAACTGCTCTTGCGGAATGATTTTTTTAGGGGGGGTACACTTTAATTTTCAATTGACTTTATTAAATGAAAATCCAAACCTTCCATTCCTTCCCTTCCATTGCCCTCCCCCAGTTCACACACCTCCCTTCTTTTCCTTGTGTTAAGGAGGGAATCTTGAAGGATGAGTTCTTAACCCTTTATATCCCATACTCTGTCTTCCAGGTCTGAGACATATCCATTTTTATGGTCAGTCTTAGCATGTTTTCTTAATGTGAAACTCACCCCAAGCCCAGGAAGGATTCTATGACATATATTACAGAGAGAATTCTATATAAATATATATAAGTATTATAGATTATATACACATGGGCATGGGCTTGGATGCCCCTTGCTAATTCTCCTACCTAGGCCTCAGTGTCTTTCTTGGCCTGGGAAGGTGGAGGGAACCCATGTTGGAGAAGGCCAGAGGCTGTGTTCAATGACACTAAACAGAATGTGGTGGCATCCTCTGACTATGAGTGTCTTATTTGGGGGGACAGAACAGACCTGGGCAAGGGGGAGGGGCAGGAGGAGAATATCTGAAGGCTCAACTGCCGAACTAAAGGCACACAGAGAGGGAAGGAAAAGAGCCCATGAATGGAGCTGGGCATCTGGCTGCTCAGAATATGTGGCCTCTCTTTCTAGGTGAAGCAAGCTAATGCTGTGCAGGACAACTGTCAACCTCCTGGCTGGTTTGGAAGGAAAAAGATGGGAGTCCTCTAAGGATGGAGCAAACTAAAGCTTGCTACCCTCAGGGCACCCCCAAGTCTATGCCAGAAGATCCCGAGGAGCTATTATAAAGGACTGGAATCTGCATGACCCTGCTGGATGAGAGCCTTTCTGGTGCTTGGGGAGGAGCCCCAGGAAGAGTGACTCCCAGGCAGAGATGACTCTTGGCAGCTAAGCCAGCCATTGCGGCGGACGAGAGGGAATATGCATGTTCCAGGGGTAACATGGAACTAGGCAGGGAGACTGTGATATAGGAAGGCTTTTTGCTGCAGGGTCAGACACATGCACTGGGCCATGACACCTGCCTCTCCACACAGAGCCCCTGCCAACCTCTTCCAAGGAACTGCACTTGGTTTCCTGGAAGCAAGGGTTGGCTTTTTCAGCCCTGAAAATCAGCCTGGCCGGGGACAGGCAGTGGCAGCAATGACTAGGTCTGGAAACAGATTGCGGGGAGCAAATAAGAAGATGGTAGGGCTGGCAGGTTGAGGTGCACATTGTCAGGTGGTCAGTCTGCAGGGCAATATTGTGGTCCCACATCCCTTCCAATGTGGCACTTGCAGAGTCAATCAATCTGAGCCTCCGCTTACCTATTCCATGTGGAAACCGAAATCTAGACAGGCAGGCCAGGATGGCAGCTGAACAACACTGGGAACTGTGGGAGGTTAAAGACTGATGGGGACTGAACCTGCACAGCAGGAAAACACAGAGATCTTCCAAGCTTGGGGCCTTGAACCCTGCCTGGAAATGGGGGAAGGGGTCTGATGGACCCAAATTCTTCCCTGCTCAAGGCCAAGTTCTCCTCAAGACCATCACCATCACCTTCACAGTAGGGGTAGAAACAACATGAAGTGGGAGCCTCCTCAACTTCAAGGCACCCCTATGACACACAAGCCCACTTCCTGGCATGGGCCCCATGGTTTTTATGAAGAAAGCTTGGAGGGGGTTATTCACAGGATCAGCTCATCTTCATCTTCCTCATCAGTGGACCGAAGGCTGGGGCCATGCAAAATGTCAGCCAGGTCCTCCTCAGGTCCTGGGCTTCCCACCATCTCTAGCTCCTCCAGCTCACCCTCTGCTCTGGCTGGGGCCACACAGTGAGGGACCTCAGGAGATGGTGGTGGTACAGGAGTCTCTGGCATGGGAGGAACCATGCCTTCTGCTCCAGGAGCCCCATTTCCACCCTCAGGCAGACTCCAGCCCTCTGCAGGAGGGGGCGGCCCCCCCGGACTCTTCCGAGTTGAAGTTGTATTCCGGAAGCTGGCAAGAGGAGGGCGGAGCTGCACGCCAGATTTGGTGTGGCCCTCGATAGCTTTCTGTAGCTGGGGAGGAAGAGGAGAGGTAAAGAGATAGACGATGAGAAGGAGAAAGAAAATGGGGGACAATGGGAGAGACCGCAGGAATGGACAAAACGGGGAAACCGAAGTGGAAAGAGTGGTAAGGAGAGAAGCAGAGACAGACAGCGAACGGTCAGAGGGAAAGACGGAACTATTCCTTCACATCACCTACTCGCCATCCTCCCTGAGAAAGCACCGCCCAGGAGACACTTCCCTCCTAGTGACCGCTTCACACCTCCCACATATTCCCACACCCTTCCCCATAGCTCACCTAAACCCCACTCCCCAAACCAGGCCACTGGGAGAAACCACATGGGGTCCCTTCTGGGCTGGAGAACTATGTCACCTAGAGGACTGTGACTACAACATGCCTTACAGGCTCTCCCTTCTGGAGGGACATCTGCTCTACACGTTCCCCACCCATGTCCCCTTGTCCTGGGTCCATTCCTCCCTCTCTCTCTGGTCAAGTGGGGCCTAGTCATCCTTACCTCTTCTAGTGCCAAGACACCTCTGAGCTTCCCCATGCTGGTCACATAGGCAAGATGGAGGCCAAGAAGTGAGAAGAGTGTATGAGTCTGATGGGGAAAGCACAGGTCAGCACGTCCCCACTTCTGCCCTCCCTAAAGCCCTGGGCAGTCAGCAAGGGCTTGCCTTGTGCAGCGTGGTCTGCTCCACCAGCTGGAAGGGAGACTGGTCGATACAGCAGCAATCAAAGCATACAGGCTGGCGCAGCTGCTCCTGCTCCCAGGCCTCAATCTGTTGACAGAGTATCACAGAGACCCCTTGAACTTCAGGAGCTCAGCTTTGGCCCACAGGAACCACCACAGACATTCTTGATCAACAGGTACACCTTTTCTTCTCAGAGGGTCACAGCATCCTTCTCCTCCATTATCTGGCCTCAAAGGCCACCTTTCACCCTCAGGTAACCAGAATATGGGTCCTTCTTGTAGTCTTCTGTGTCCTCCTGGTCTCCAAACACTTATTAAACTCCAACCTTCATTGTGTGCCATACTGACACTCCCATTCAGATGTATGTTTTGCTATCTAGTAATTCCTATCATACCTTGACATTTTGGGAGCCTTTGCTTTTCAGAAATGGCATTGTTTATACTCAGCCTTCTGATGGCACTTGCCTTTCCTCTGCTGACTAGATGTACACTCATTGGTAGGGCTAAGTGATATCAACAGTTGGAGAACGAGGAAGCTACCCCTTATGAGTAGAGCACAGTGAATAGTTGCTGAATCTGAGTAGACTCCCTGTACCACTTGGTATTTAGTTGACTTGGACTGTCTATGTTTTGCTTGTCTTTTTTTTTTTTTTTGTCTATTAACCAAATCATTAAGGCTCAAAGCTAGCTATTATCTTGAATTACATACCTACAACCCAAGATGCCAGATAAGCCACTCTCTCCAGGACTCATAAATTAATCTAAGATGTTCTTTGGTCCTACCCCAGATGATGTCACACTTCAACTCTCTTATTTGTCCAAATCTGCACTCTAACCTTCAGAGATTACCAGCAAAGGCTAGCTTGCTCCTTGTCCTAGGATTGAGCTGTGAGTCCACATGGAGGCTCCCTCCATGTGTCATGTTCTGTTGACATTTCTGGACACAGCTATGGGTCCTCTAAACTCCCATGGTCCTGACTAAAGTTTTACATGGAGCCTAACTGGCTCTTAGTATAAGAGTATGTTTGTCTGAAATGTTGCAAAGAGGATGGGGTTAGAGGACTTAGATAGGACTCGTTTTCTTGGTCCTTCTGAGATCACACCAGGCCTTCTCAGCTACCCCCACCCCTCTTTTTCCCAGTAACAACAGCAGCAACATTTTCAGAGAATATTTGTCAAGCACTTCATCTGTATTGGGCAAAATTCTAATTGCTGTCCATGTCTTACTCATCGAATCCTCCTAACAACTCCACTGCAGACGAAGGAGTGGGGACACACAGTACCAGGGGCTCCATAGGCAGTGATTGGAGGACTCTGGCATTTGTGTGCTGACCACATACCAGATACATCTCCAGTTTTTGTCCAAAGGGAGGAGGATGTTGCTGCTGGATCTTATGAAAAGTTCAACACCAGTTAAAAACCAAAGCTCTCACTATGTGAGGCTTAAATCACAACAGGGACAGCGGATGAATTCTTTTCACTTTGAATTCTTTCTCTAACTTCTATATTGACTCAATATGATTTTTGTCAAAATCTATATCCTGATATTGTCAAGGTTGTCATCTCTCAAAATATATGAAATTTTTACTTTTACTGGACTTTGTTCCTCAGAAATGTCTCTTCAATATCTGGTTTTGGAAGGTATACACTAGAAATATATAATCAGTCTTCTTTTTGTACCTAGATGCACGTCATTTCTAACAGGCATTAAAGGGACATATTCATCAACTGGCTGGTTTCCAGTCTTCTTGGTACAATAAGAAATGGCGGCGTACACCTTTAATCCCAGCACTTGGGAGGTAGAGGCAGACAGATCTCTGTGAGTTTGAAGCCATCACAGTGAGTTCCAGGCCAGCCAGGAACTGCACAGTAAGACCCTGTTTCAAAAACACAACAAAAAAAAGCAATACCTTCACTGGATGAAACAATCCATTCCAGGCTGTGGATTTTCTTACCTCTTCAGGTGACATGTTATCCACTAAATCCGTTGAATCCTAGGGGAGAAAGACACAGGGCCAAGTTCATTACGTTTCCTTCTCAGGCTAGTTATAGTTTTCAATGGAGCAGAAACCATGTCTCCCTGGGCAGGTGAGTCCAAGAAGTCACCTTTTCAAACCATCACCCTTGGTAGGACCTCTGCCCTTCTGAGGACCTGAGCTTCCTTCTTCCTCTCGACACATCTTCTCTTACCTGGGCTATTTTCTTCTTTGTAGAGTGAGCTCTGCCCAGCAAGCAGCGCAGCAGGCACCGGAAGATGGATGATCTTTGACCTGAAAGGAAGAGTGAGAAGATTGGGGGTGGGGTGACCAGGTGCTTCCAATGGCCCCTGGCACTGCACCACCCAAGAGCTGTGCTTCCTCTGTGCTGTGCCTCAGTGGATTCCTCTTCCAACTCCCTAGGACAGCATCATGGGATTTATCCATTAGAGTCATCTCTTGAAATCACCTAGCCTCACATCTTACAAGAGTAGCTCTTAGTAAAGGTGAGTCCAAACATAACTCTCAAGACATGCTGAGGTCTTTACCTGCAGGGTCTGGGGCTTCAGGTGGCTGTTTGTGGTTGGGCAGTGGCCCATTAGGTTCTTCAGGGTATGATGGAACAGTAGGAAAGAGAGGAGGTGGAGGAGGAGGAGGAGGAGGAGGAGGAGACAGTGGAAGCTGAAAATAAAATAAAAACATTCTCAGTCTCAGAAAAGAGGCCACATGATACCTTGCTGCCTTTACTAGCAGGGGCCCTGGGAGATCTAACTCTATACTGCCCCCACCCCGGCCCCCCGAATTCCCTTTTCCCTCTCAAAACACCACTCAGGCACTGGTCTCTTTTGCACTGGATCCAGTTTGGTCACTTTCTCACTTGTCAGTGTTTCCCTTCCTCTTTCCTTTTTCTAGCACCTGTCACAGCAAAGCCCAGTCCAGCCCCGCCCAGCACAGTCCATCCAAGCCCAGCTATCGCAGGAGAGATATCACTAGCGACCCCTACTGGCGTTTTCCCTTCTGTCAGCCTCCCTTTCCCTTCTGTCTTGGTTACCTCCGTCTTCCTGGAGAGGTCCTCGTCTTCATCCTCATCCACAAAGGCGAAGGACTCGGGTCGACCGCCAGGGTACCACTCTCCAGCCAGCCGTGCTTTGCCATCAAAGGGCAGCTCCGATAACTTGCGAGCCATATCCTGGGCAGCCCTCAACCTTCGCTCTGCACACAGGTGGCGCTGTAGGAGGGACTGCAGTTCTGAGCGTTCCACGGAGCCCAGCAAGATCATTGAATCTGGGGGTCGACAAATGCTTCCCTGAGGGCCTGCTCCACACCTGCATGTCTATCAAGTCATGCGGCAGGAGCTCAGGGCCTTTTCTTGTTCCAGTTCTTACCTTATCTTACCAAAAACTTCATCTTAAAAGTCCTCCAGGGTGGCCTCCCTTGATCCCTTTAATTTCACACATTTAGCACGTACGGACCCAACTGGCAGCACACTAATTGGTGCTAATCTGTACTTATCTGTATGATGCCCTAATATAGTATTTGCAGATATGTAAGCTCGCTATTAAAATATGCTGATCAACCCTATCCAAAAGTAAAGAAACTTGAGAGGCAGTTGTAACAGTCTGAAACTCAAACACACTCTGAAAGAAGTCTACAAGCAACACTAACATCGGGTCCTCCATCCTGGAAGAAGTTTCATCCCCTAAAGCACCTAGGCCCTGATAGGACGTGAACAAAATGCTCCCTTTCCAGGAGGCCTTGTATGTGTTTGTAGAAATTTCGCTACAATGCTGAACATTTTCTTTAAGTTAACTGCCATATCACTGCATCAAGGGCACTAAGACAGGCCTCACGGTTACATCTTCGTCATCATCACGAAAACTTGGCACCCCAATGACTGCACCCTTGCTCTAAGGAAGAGCCGTGGCTTCAGAAGCTACTTAGAAGGACTCTGAGCTTAGAGGCAATGTCTGAACTAATGTAGTTCGAGAAATTTGGATGCTCAGAATGTCTGAAGTCAAAACTAACATTACTCCTGGCTCCAAATAGCTCCTCATGTCTATTTTCTAATGCATTAATTCACAGACTAGAGAAGCAAGTACTGAATGTCCAGGAAACACTTAGAACTCTAAGATGCAGAGATTACAGTCTCTACATTCAAGGACTACCCAATCTAATGAGAAAGACAGACTACAGTGAGAAGCGACACACAGCAGAGCGAAACGTCAATGGCGGGCAGGAAGAATGGTGGACGAAAGGGAAAGGGAAATCAACATTTATGAAAGCCATTTACTTCTCCATGAGGAACAGTTTGCACTCTTCCTTTGGTTGGCCATTAAAGAAATGACAGGATCTAGTCAAGTAGGAGAGGGCCCAAGATTTTCAGTTGACCCACATTGATTATGAAGTCTCTGCTTCTGAAATCGCTTACCGGCCATGAACATACCTCTCATTCTGATGCTAGAGATGCTTCCGCCGTAAATCACAGACGTGCACAGAACAACAACAAAGTGAGCTGCCTGAATCTTATGCTCCCAGCTGAGGCTGAACAAACACTCACCCAGCCTTCTCATTTCGGCCCGAGTAAACAGTGCTCGGTTAGCAGTCTATCTAATGCCACATTGTTTTTGGACTCTTTGCACTTTGTGTGGTGACTCTGCTGTGAAAGTGTCCCCCAGATGTACTGCTGAAGTGCTGTCTACTGATCCTAAGCAGGGGAAGGGGAGGCTGTGCTTTGCCTTGTTGAGAAAATACGTTAGGTGAGTTCCACTTAGGTAGGATTGTAGTGCTGTTGGCCATGAGTTCAGGGTTAATAAATGAAGAAATGTCTATTAAATAAGTTATCTTAAAACAGAAAACATGGTTATGTATTGATTGCTTGGGAAAAATTCCATGACCAGAATCAAGGGACTTAGCTCTGTATTTCCTCTTGGAGTATTTTTCTGCAAACTGTTCACTAATTCCAGGCTCATAGAGACTTTAAAATTCATGGCTGCCATGAAGAGTCAGAATTGCCTGTATTTTCTTAATTGGATTTTAACTGCCTTTGTGTGCCTGTGTCATGGCTGTGTTTATCACATCCTAAAGGAAGAGCATGCTCCTCATTAGTATAAGCTGAGCTTCCCTTAGTAGCTAGAAAGCTCTAAGTTCAAGTCCATCCCTGTGATGGTGAATCCTACTGTCAGCTTACCTAGATTCTGAATCACCCAGGAGACTGGTGAGGCACACCTCTGGGTGTGTCTACAAGGGCATTTCTAGAGATCAAATGGGAGCAGGAAGATCCACTCTGAATATAGGTAGCACAATCTCATGGCTTTGCCTCCCAGAAAAATAGAAGGAAAAAAAAAAAAAGAATGAAGCCAACTGAGCACCAGCTTCTTCTCCTAGGCATCTTGGCCTGCCACGATGTGTGCTGCTCTGTCCCACGATTCTCTCTCTACCACAGTGGACTGACCTCTGAAACCATGAGCTGAGATAAGCATTTCTCCCTTAATCTGTTTATATTAGGTGTTTTTTGTTTGTTTTTCTTTTTTAGATTTATTTATTCATTATGCATACAGTGTTCTGTCTGCATGTTTGCCTGCTGGCCAGAAGAGGGTGCCAAATCTCATTACAGATGGCTGTGAGCCACCATGTGGTTGCTAGAAATGAAACTCAGGACTTTTGGAAGAGCAGCCAGTGCCCTTAACTGCTGAGCGGTATCTCCAGCCCTATATTAAGTGTTTTAATATCAGTGTTAGAAAGTAGCTAAGGTGACACTGGTGATCTCTGCTTCTGGACAACTCTGCTTCGGTCACCAGCTGGGTAGTCAGTCAGCTTCCTTCCTTCCTACTTACCTTTGGAATCAACCAATGGTAAAGTCTTGACTGTGGTGGTCTGGAGTAGGTTTCTCAGTTCCCCATATGTGCAAGAAGCTGAAACAAACTTCACATCACGTACCATGATGTCCTCAACAAAGATTGTAAATTTGCTAAGGAGGGAGAAAGCATCCTGGGTTAGCCCACTATCGGCCTATGCTGCCCTTCCTTTTTCCCACAAGGTCTGCCATGCATTCTTTCACTCACAGTGTTTATTAAGTATGTGGAAACATGAAAACAGTAATTTAAAAAAAAAGCATGCTTCCCGATGCTAGCCTTGTCCTTACTTCAGGACCTCCCACATCCCATCATATCTAAACTAATTCTGGCTAGTGGCCCTGACCTGAGCTGGTTCCAACCAAGGTCTGGCAAATAGGGAAGCTTCTTGACCTGGATGATGCTGTCATAGAGAGAGGGCTGCAGACTCTGAGCCACCATGTTGGCCAAGATAACAGCCACCATCATGGGCAGGATGTGAGCAATCTGACCAGTTAATTCGAAGCAAATCACAGCTGTGGAGACTGTGTGAGAGACAGCCCCTGTCAGAGCTGCTGCTCCTGGAATGAGAGGAATGCATTGATGGGTTAGAAGTGTCTTTTCTGACATGAAGAATACATGAGGGTACGACAAGAATGACACAGAATAGGAGACAGGACCTCGGTTAGTGCCAACAATCCCAGGATTACTACTTTTTAAGAGTAGGGCTGAGAATGCTGGTCTTTTTGAAAATTATCCATATGATCTAATTTATATATAACCTTCAGTAAGTCAAAAAGTCTATGTACACGCAGAACTTTTCATTTATAATGTGAAGAGAGTGATATCTTATCCATTCTTTGCTTTTCAAAGTTTGGCTCACTCTCAACTGAACATTTAAAAATCCAATAATGGAATCTTATTTTGAGCCTCAGGTGCTGATGCCAACAGTTCATGAATGAATAGCATGAAAATTCAAGAACCTTGTTGTGGACATACAGCAATGAGGCCTCCATTGATCAGGATCCATAGATCCTGACTCTGTTTCTACCATATGAACGATGTTTACTTCCATGAGATATCATGTTCTCATTCACAGAGTGAAAATGTCACTAAATAACTTCTAAAATTCTTATGAATTTAAATCATTATGATTCTATAAGCTCACCAAAAGTATAAGCAATCTAATGTATTTTTAAGTTGTATTCTTATCAACTCAATAGTTACTCATATTTTAATTGTACTTCTTATTCAAATATGAAGGAAAGGCCAGCTTGGTCTACACAATGACCCCTAGGACAGCCAGGGCTATGTAAAGAGACCATGTATGATGGTTTGAAAGAAAATGGCCCCCATAGGGAGTGGCACTATTAGGAAGTATGGCTTTGTTGGAGTAGGTGTGGCCTTGTTGGAGGAAGTGTGTCACTGTGGAGGTGGGCTTTGAGGGTCTCCTATGCTCAAGCTACACACAGTGTGGCACTCAGTTCACTTCCTGTTGCCTGTGGATCAAGAAGTAGAACTCTCAGCTCCTTCTCCAGCACCATGTCTGCTTGCATGCTGCCATGTCCTCCCATGATGAACATGGACTAAGCCTCTGAAACTGTAAGCCACCCCAATTAAATGTTTTCCTTTATAAGAGTTGCCATGGTCATGGTGTCTCTTCACAGTAATAGAAACCCTAACTAAGACATCTTGTCTTTAAAAAATCCCCAAAGCTAAAACTAGTAAAATAAAATGATGGAAATATCCATTGGGAGAATACAGGAGAAGGCTTATATGAAAATATAACAATAAAAGGTCACAGAAGTCTAGTATTGGGAGATATGACCTTAGTTGGTAATGCACAGAGCATTATTCAGAACATAAACCACATAGTATGTGTATACTGGGAAATGTGCATTATGGAAGATGAGAGATACTTGACAAGGCATGAAGAGAACAGAAGATTCCTATTGATAAATGATGCTTTTATAAATGAACTAGGATCAGGCAGTAGAGTGCCATACATAAGTCTACCTCAGAAGTCATTTTAGAAGTCCAGGGCTCATGTTTCTCAGCTCTTACTCCTGTGTTATTAGTCCCTATTACATGAACACAGTCCAGTTTGGATGGACCGGGCCCATCACCTACAGTATTGGTTCCTTGATTCTTAGGAAAGAAAGAGCCTACTAAACATGCAAAGATAATGCAAGGTACCCTATCCTTCTTCTCTTTTCTTTTTTTGTTTTTGTTTGTTTGTTTGTTTTGTTTTGTTTTGTTTTGTTTTTTTGAGACAGAGTTTCTCTGCGTAGTCTTGGCTATCCTGGAACTCACTTTGTAGACCTGGCTGACACTGAACCATCCTTATTTTCTTATTTGATTCCTATGATCCATTTCCCACAGGCAGAAACTAAGGCTTATTTAAAAAAAAGGCAGAGCCAAGAGCTGGTTGTTTGAACAAAACTTGAATTAAATAGTGTTGTATTTAAACTAAATCCTGTATCTTGAAAGAAGATGTATTAGAAGACTTTGATTGTAGGGATTTGGGGTACTCAATGTCTGGTTATAGAGGTTAGAAATATGTCTCACCAATTACTGCATAGCCCCCAGGTAAGATCTTGTAGAGGAAGTCATCAAATAAGATACCCTCAGGGAACAACATGGCCATGATCTCTCCTACCAGCCTTCCAAATGCAGCTCCTAGAGGAAGATAAAAAAGGCAAGTATTAAGACAAATTTTCTTTGTCTCTATGTTTCCAGCATAATCTGTGTTTAGGCACTAAGACCACAAACTCCCAGGATGCTATCTAGGTTCTTCCTTGTTTTCTCACCATCCACCCAGATTATAGCTATCAACACGATGCCATCAACCCTTACCTAGCACAAAAACAGGCATAAAGCCTCCGCAGGGTATGGGCATAGTGGTGGCCACAATGGACATCCAAAACTAGGATTAAAAAAAGAAACATTAGAATACCCTTCCCAAAAGTATCTCCATGCCCCTCTCTCCTCACTGCCCTCCTCCTACCTGCTTCAAAGGTCATAACAGAAATGTCCTGGGATATATAACCCTTTTGGAAATCTCGTCTATCACCATCCTCCAGAACCTGAAAAACTTGGCACTTTCAGGCTGAGAGATCAACAAAGACATCAGGATAAGAAAGTTCCTCCAGATGGCTAACACAAATCCTTCCAACTTTGAGTGACTATATTTTCCTCTTGGCAATCTAGAACAAGGAAGTCCCAGAGGATTCCTCTTTCACTGTTCCCAAAAGACCCTCACCCAGTGAACTGAGTCAGCCCACTCCACCTTTGTGCAGTAGTCCGAGACACTAAGCTGGAGGATGCTTTTTCCTGCTCAGCTGATGTTTCTATAACAGAGCCCAGATCAATGTGGCAGACACTTTAAAGTCTACTGAAATTTTGTAGGGTTAATTTAACTTTGATTTGATCATTTACAAAGTCATGGAAGAGGTAAGCCTCACAGAAACCTGAAGAGAAGACTGCTCTGCTTGAGCCTTTGTCTTTGATATCAAACCACCTTAAACAAGGATCAAAATTTTATCTGGATCCTGGGGACATAGTGATAGAGTGTATTCTTAGAATCTGTGAAGCCCTGTGTTAAATCCCCAGTACTGAGAAAAAAAATCTGTCTTGGCTGTACCACAGGGGCAAACTGAGAACCTGATTAGTCTTTCAATATAACAGAAAAGATATCCAAGGTCAACTTTGCAAGGCATTATTCCAACAGAAATTGGGACAATTATAGTAAAAGCAGTAAGTACACTCTGAGGCAAAGAATGCAGAGGAATTGAGAAATAGAGCAGAACAGGAATAGTGGCTGAACATTAAATATCTAAAGAAAAAATGAAAGTGTGAGATATAGTTTTGAAAGTAAGTCCAATGTAAGTTAATCAATCTTAGAAAAGGATTCCAAACTAATTAGGTACAAGATGAAAACAGCTAGATGTCTAACAGGCTGTTACGATTAAAGTATTTGCAAGTCCTTGAATCATGTGTATGATACACTAATGAGAAATAAATTTCTTAATTTTATGAACTTTAGAAAGCATTCTTTTAAGCCTAAGCTGAACCCAAGAGGCTGTGATGAAGACCCCAAGAAAATTTTACTCTAGAAGTGTGAGACAAAACAGAACATCTACTTCATGTCAGAACATGATCATTGAGATATTTGGGAACTGCAAGTTAAATGTGTAAAATGAAAAGAACACAGAATGATGATTTCTTGGGGAGAGAGGGTTAACCTTGTTATTTCTGCCTTCTCTTCAGAGGACCAATGCTCCATAAATGTAGGTAGGAAGGAAGTAAAGAAAGACAATATGTCAACGGAACAATAGTCATGCAAAACAGTAAAAGATCCTCAAATGAACACTCCAAAATAATAACGTTCATGCAGAGACCTTGTTGAAAATGCAGATGAGCAGAGGCCTCTGAAGACTATTCTACCAGACAATCTAGAGGCAGGATCCATGCACCTGTTGCTTTAGCTTGTTAAGTGATGACATTTAACACACCAAGAAGCCTTATGCTCTCACGTACCATCTCTTTAGAATAAGCACATGGGAATCATAAGGGATTCTGTAGGGTTGGGTTATATGAAAGCTCCAATGATACAGATGATGGGTGATGGATAGGTCTAATTTCAGAGGGTAAAGTAGATTATCTTCACAGATAAGTGGAACACCTAGATCAAGACCAGGGGGTACTGAAGTCACAACTCCCATGGTACAAAGTGGGGTGATTGAGATTAGCAAACTTTTTTAGCTATTGGCACATGAAGGAAAAAAAAACAAGAGTGATGTGGCACACAAGTAACTTCTAAGATTTTAAAGCTCCTTCTGAAGAACTGAGAAACTAGAAACCTGTTACCACTGACTTCATTATATTTAGACCCATCACAAGAAGGAATAATGTGAAAAGCAGGCAAAAAGGCTTCCACAGAGCTTCAGGCTATGCTGAAACTCAACAACACTAGGCAATGCTGCTAGCCTTATTAAAAGGGAGCAAGATGTTGGGATTATATTCATGTTCATGGGAAATCTCTTGATTTACAACATGATGATACCCTGTACACCCTGAAATTGGGAAAACTGGGGAAATAGGATGTTCCTTTCCCAATATTAAGAAACAGCTGAACCAAGCCTAGAACCTACCCCACTGACACTGTTGGAAGGCTACATGGACTAGATTTCAGACCCAGTTGCAGAAAAGTAGTTCTAGTCCCTGCTTTGGACTGAACACAATTTGGATGTCTCACAGGATTCCATTTGGAAATGTCATCTCTGTTGTGAGATACCAAGAGGGTTAGGACCTAATCCAGCTGTGGTGCTGTGAAGTGGAGGCTTTCAAAATCCTATAGGATTAGGCAAGACACTAGGGTGAAACATCAGTGCTGGCTTCCTGGCAGCTTTCTGAGGACAAGAACAGAGGAGATGCACACAGACATGGGAGCTCCTTGCTGCTTACTGTGTGATGTTCTGCACAGCTTAGGACTCTGCTAGCAAGAGTGCCATCACTGGTGTGATGTCATCACTGTGATCTTGGATGTTCATAACTGTGAGCCAAAAATACCCTTTTTCTTATAAGGTAGAGCCTGTCTCAGATATTTAATTACAACAAAAATAGATGGATATAAGTACTTTTATATTTTAATTTGGCTACATGTTCTATTTGCACATTTTAAAAAATAAGAGTACTGTTATGAGTCCAATGATTAGGCAAAGAAAATGCTGGGGAGCAGTGGCTGGTAAAACTGAATTTGCAGCAAGGAATACTTTTGTAATTAGAAATATTAAAGAATATTGGAGACCTTCTGTAAACTGTTGGGCTTGAAATATAGCCCAGAATGTGTTTCTTTTTCTTATACACTTACAATATGAATGTTCTCTAGGCTATAATTCAGTGAGAAGTTAATTATAGTGACATACAGATGAGTCCTTCTATATCATCCGAGTAGGGTTCTGAAAATAAGCTTGACTTCATGAAGATACTTAACAGAAAATCTGGGGATGTGGATAAGGTAAAGAGTAAGTGTTGAAAAACATCTATTTTATTTTTAGAAAACTTTAAAAAATCTTGACATTTTAACAGTCTACAAGACCGCAAAGGTAACATATAGCTTAGACCAAGCTGTATCATTACTGGATCATAGATCCTGAAATGCCGTGAAAACATGGACTGGGTTACTGCAGATGGGATTAGAGACTTGACAGGCAAGTTGCAGTCCATGTGCTGGGCTCATGCTGTAAATCTCAGCTTTCAGGAGAGGATAAGTTCAAGACTAGCCTGGATTTCTTTACTCCCCATGTTTCCCCGAAGCTTAACCAGTATAGAAAGCCAGAACTTACAAATTAAAGAAGATGAGACTTATAAATAAAAATCTAGACATCAAATCCCTACCAAGATTCTTAGAATATCTTTATGAAAAATTATCACGTATATTAAAGGAAGAAACACAAAGGGTAAAACAAACAGAGTGTCCAAAATATGGATGCTATAGATTCAGTTAGTCCACCTTTGGTGAGGTAGGGAAGTAGAAATCCACAACAACCCCTGAGAGCCTAAGCCTGAGATCTGAGACCTGGTGTGTAAAGCAGTTGGCATTTTTATAATAATATCATTGAAAAATACATTAACAAGCAGCAGCAGAAAACAAGGAAATGTAAAATTAGCCAAAGGCCAATGACCAAGAGCTATGTATTTGGCACATGCTGTTTCATAACATTTATTGGATAAATGAATTCACTGTATTATAAGAACAATATCAATATAACAGTGATGCATATTCTTGTACAATATAGAATCACAAATGTATCATAAATAAGAGCAAGATATTGAAAAGCATGAGAGTTTGGGCTGGACAGGGATACCTATACATAAGGCATGCTGTTAGTAAATGAGAAATCATCAAAAAGGAAAAAAAACAGACAATCCTCGGCTAAAATAGGTGTCACAATCAGGTTCGGAAATTTTTAAAAAATCTTTATACAAGGTAGTAATATGAAGCTTCTATATTTATAATTTGTGATGGGCAGATCTGAAAAAGAAAGGAAGTAAAAGGAATTTACACTTATTTCCTAATTAGGAAATGTTAGAAAAAACTGTTCTCGTCTAGAAAAATCCTTGTACTCTCACTGCCTAAGTGGAGAATAATTACATTTGTAAAAATTATTTATAGTCATTAATAATGTTGATTTGGTATTCCTTTACCTTCAAATATCTAGAAAGAAATGAGAGAGTTGAGTGCAAATCACCTAAAAGTGAATAAGAGATCCACGGAGATTAAGGATCTAATTATCTAACATGTGAGAGGAATTTGGTTAATTGGTCTGGGGTTTTTACAGTTATCTATATTGCTAAACTCTGTCTTGTTTGAATTTACTTGACTGCTTTGATGCCTTAGAAAGATAACAAGTGGAACTATTAGAAGGGTTATTAGAGTTACGGCAAACATCGCGAAGTTGACATGAGCAGAGCAATTAAGCTACATCCTGGTTCATTTTGATAGACAGGCTGTTTATGCTGAGGTTTCCTCCCGGTTTCTGTCTAGGTCGGACACAGACCAGATGAAGTTCTACCCTTCCTGTGCAAGGCCTGGGTTCCTCTACTGAAAACAGAAACATGGAGGGGCTCTCATGGGGCAGAGTACCTTCATGATGAAGAAGAGAAGGATGATGATGACCACGTTGACCTGGGGGTGAATCCACACAGCTGACTGGCCCAGGCTTTGGGGGTCACCTATGTGCTTTACCCAGGTATTATTGTCAAACAAGGTACTGATGGCTTCACGGGGCATCAGCTGTGAAGGAAGAAGCAGAGGAGGTTTTCCAGCAATGTACTGTACCTCCTGTGTTACAGAACTCACCCCCAGCCTCACTAGTCCAGGACTTTTCGTTCTTTTCTCCTGGAGAAAGTCTATCCTTGGGCAAAACTCCATAAGCTCCAAGTCTGAGCGGCAGCCCCACCCTTGGCTTAGAGACCCAGTCACAGATGCGACCTAACCCTCTGCTCTCAGACACCCCTAGAGCTGACCTCTCCAGCCATGAATTGACCCATTCCTGGTGGAAAGGTGAGTGAGGCGATGACAAGGGTAACAATTCCAGGATACAGCAGGCGGCTGAAAAAAAAAGAGAGTTAACCATACCCCCCACTCAGCCAGCCCACAATGCATTCACACACAGCTTCCAAGCTGTTGTTTCCCATAGTCTATTCTTTCAGTAAAGCGAACGTATTCTCTTTGCCAAGAAAGCGATCTCTTGGGAAGAGCCAGCATGGCTAGCCTCTACCGACAGTATCAGAGCTTCCCATAGCTGTGCACAGCAGCTCCACTGAAAGCAGTGGTTATCAACCCTTTAATACAGTTCCTCATGTTGTGGTGACCCTCCCAACCATAAAATCATTTAGTTGCTACTTCATAACTGTAATTTTGCTATAGTTATGAATTGTAATGCAAATATCTGATAGGCAGGACTTGACCCAGAGGTTGAGAACCGTTGACGGAAAGGACCTAAAGTTCCACCTAAAGAAGGGACTGCTGGAGGAAATCAGAGGTAAGTGGGCAGGACAAGGGGAAGGACAGTGACTCACTGCTTGGCAAGAAACTGGCTGAGAGCCTTGTGCTTTCGGACACCGAGCATGACTTGGCGATGCAGATAAACGAAAACAGCTCCCAAGAACCCGCAGCAGATCCTGCCGGTGCAAGATACAGGGCTTGACGCTCTGACCCAGACACTGCAGAGGAGCAGACAAGCCCCTCCCCTTTCTACCAGCGGCCTCGCAGTTCCTGCCTTTACTCATGCCCTCCACAGCTTATCCCGGCTCCGGCTCCGGTCCTTCCAACCGCACCCCAGTCCCTGCTCCCCACACCCAGAAAGAGTGGTCCCACTGACCCAATGACAGCAAATGCTGGAAGTTCCTTCAGGTCAAAAGGGAAATCCATTCGAAAATTAGTTCTGAACAGAGCGGTAATGGTGACTGGAGAATGAAAAGGCAAGCGTTATGGTGGGAACTCACAGAAAGCCACAGGTAGGGCGAGAGAAGTCATGTTCAAGTGTCTTCCCTTCCTTCAATCCCAGCCTCTTCTCTTTCATTTAATTTCCTTTTCCCTACTAGCATCTCTCCGTGGTTACACTTTCTACGCCATGATCTAATCCTCCCCTATACCCCGAGCCTTGGTCTGGCTTCCCAAAGGACACCACCCATTCCTTTTCTGATGCGCTCCAGTCATACCTCCTGCCACTTCACCACCATCCCTATTCCACACCACCTCCCCCGGGACCTCCGGTTACCAGCATCCTTGTTCCACACCGCCAAGACACGGAACACAAAGGCACTGAATGTGGCTGCAAAGAATCCTCGCCAGTAATTCCGAACAGCAAAGTAGGTGGAGGTGACCTCGATGCTGAACAGCACTCCTGTGGGGCAGGGAAGCAGGTCAGGTGCAGACACTCCCACACCTCCCACTGCTGGGATCCCAGGCGCTTCACCTTAACTGCGAGTCTGGGAAGGGCCGGTGGGAAGTGATGCTTTCTTCTTGTTCTTTGTAATAAACCACATACATACCTATGGAAGCCCCCCATCCCCACCCCCAGCCCAGACCAGGAATGTGGACCAATGAGATACAGAGCCGATAGGAAACGGATAGGCTCTTAACTCCCTGAACTTCAGGCTCAAGTATTTGTGCACTTAAAGTAAAGGACTAAATGGGCTTCGCAACTATCAAATATCCATGGAGATTTATGGACAGTTCTGTAGAAATATTAAAAACGGAAGAAGGTTCCAGAGCAGGCGGTGGTCAGTGCCATTGCCAAAGGGAGCTCAGGATTTGCATATTCCTCAACACCCCCTTATCTCCCCACGGCTTCCTATATTTTAGGCCTAGTTTATGAGAAATAAGAAAAATAGGATAGGGCCTTATGAAAGCCTACAGGATTCAATACTCCAGGAAGAGAAAGCAGAGCCACCCTGATAATGATGATGATACTTACGAAATGTGACCCCCAAGGATCTAAGCCAGGAGGACAGCCAAGGTGAGAAGAAGGTAAACTACAATGCTTAGAAAGGTGAGGGAGATAAAATGAGAGCTGGCTATCGGTCACTAGTTCTTGTTCTGAGAGGAGATGCTCAGAGGAGAGGGAGGAGGAGGGAATGGAGCATACACATGAGGAGTACTGAGCCAAAGGAAGCAATGCCTATGAAGCCAAGAACGCACCATTGGAAACAACAAAGAAGAGAATCTGTAAGCTTTAGGGCAAGGGAGTTGATCTTTGATTAGGTCATCAATAACATGACTAAAGCTTGACTAAGCCTCATCCATAGCAAACAGGAGGACAGAGAACTGAGATAGAGGGGGATGAGGACCAGCCTAAGAGGTAAAAAAAAAAAAAATGAACGAGGCAAACTTTGTCTTTTTCTTTTTTCCACGGTGTAAATTGTTGGTCTGTTCAAGGCTGGCCATTCCCTCCCTCTTCAGACAGCAGTTCACATAATAGGAATTCTCTTCTTCCCATCCTGTATTCAAAAGCCACATCTCTCAAATCCCTCATGACCTCCACTATCCTTTTTGCAGGGGAACATGATTAAGTCACATTGAGTCTATGTACCAAGGAGATGGTTGCTGGGTGCTACTGTCTCCTGGAGCCAAAGCTGTGTTTTGGCAGAAGATTTTCCCAATGTCTCCTTGAAAAGCCATCCCCAAACTTCCTTGTCAAGTAGAAACCATCCATTTCTCATCCTGGTATGTCTCATCTTGGTATTTTGGGTTATTCTATTTTCCACTTTTAGATCTAGCTGTTTGTCCACATTGCTGAGTTTTCCTGGGATTGGAGGTTCCTTGGAAACTAAGCCCTGGCACAGTGGTGAGCACCCACTTGGGGCTCAATGCCTATACTGGGATGGGCAGGAGAGGAGAGGATATGGAGAAAGAAAGAACACAGCAAGAGAATTTCGAAGAATGGAGCCAAGGGTGCTGGAGAGATTGCTCAGCAGTTAAGAGCACTGGCTCTTCTTTCAGAGGACCCAGGTTCAATTCCCAGGACCCATGGCAGCTCACAACTGTCTATAACTCTAGTTCCAGGGGATCTGACACCCTCACACAGATATACATGCAGGAAAAGCACCAAGTCACATAAAAAAAATGAGTAAATCATGCCAGACAGTGGTGGCACACACCTTTAATTCCAGCACTTGGGAGGCAGAAGCAGGAGGATCTTTGTGAGTTCAAGGCCAGTCTGGTCTATAAAGCAGGTTCTAGCACATCCAGCATCACACAGAGAAACCCTGTCTCAAAAAACCTAAATAAATAAATAAACAAACAAACAGAAAGAACGGAGCCAAGTGATGCAGAGCTATGCCAGCCACTCTTTCTGCCTTGCTCTTCAAATCCTAAGGGGGAGAAGTCCGTAGTGGGAATCAGGTGGGTCTCTCTTCTTTGCCTTGCCATAATAAAAGTAAAACCAGCTTTACTTTGCCTGGGAGCAATTATCCAACTTATATGTTACAAGCATTTCCTCCCCATAATACAGACCTGGGAGGCTTTTCTCTAACAGTTTGTCACAGTGTGATCAGGAGTGAGAACCAACTTTCATATTACCTGAGACAAGCATAAGATGTGCTGCTAAAAGAAAAGAGAGCTTTAAAAACATGAACAGCTGCTAGAAACTCTGGTGTCTTAGGTCTGGCATGTTGTTCTCTTCTTCCATTCTGCGTTCCTTCTCTAATTTCTCTTCTGGTTCCCATGCCTCTGTCCAGTGAAGGCATTGCTCTTGGTCTCCCTCTCCTGCTACTTCCTGACATAATTTCCTTCTCAATTTCACTTATGCCTGTAGCATCAACCATGGACACAGGCTACTGATTAGATTCAGCTCAGTTCCTGGATTGTAGACTCATCAACCTAGCTGCCTGCTTTATACTATTTGGCCATGCCATAGGAACTTTAAACTCAATATCCTCTAAGTAAAATTGGTTCACTCCCCTCCAGACCGAGTTTGCTTCCTGTGCCCTCTTCCATAGTCACTAATGCCACTATCTGCTGCATTTTCAGTGTTGTGAGCACGGGTGTTGGCACCGAACTCTGTCTCCTATCTTCACATAAAATAAGCCACCAAGCAGCATCAATTTGACTTGATATCACTTGAGTTTCTCGGCCCCTCCTCTACCTCCTTTGCTGCCCAGTTCTGTCTGTCATCATCCAGCATCAGGACGATGACAATAGTCTTCTTGTTAATCTTAGATCAATCCTGTTAATCCACAACCAGTTCTATCCTGCACACATGTGCCAAGGGGATTGGATGGGCAGGCCGAGCTAACCATGTCACTTCCTTGTTTTAAATCCTTCCATGGTTTCACTTCACCCACGACAATACCACACAAAGTCAGTTCCATGAGATGACACAAGTCCCATGACATGTTCTCTGCGAAGGGGGCTTGGTGGGAAGGGCTGTTTGCAGCTACCGTGGGTGTTCCCAATGCATCCCAATATCTCAGATGTTTTCATCACCTTTCCAGTTCAATAGTTTTTAACTACTTATTTATTCCCCTTTAATCATACATTTTCTAACCAATTGGAACTTGCAATGGTTTTTCACCAAGAAGAATTGTGCTCTGTAAAACATATTTGGGCAAATACTACCCTAGAGGGTAAAACCTGTATTATTCTGCATGACTTCTGCAGACCTTCATGATTCAGCCCCACTTATCTGTTCTGAGTCACTTCCTATTATACTTTCCCATTCTCCCTAGTACTACTCATTACTGTAAGGGCAGATATTGACTTTGGATCCTGTCCATTCTGTTTGGAATTTCCTTTCCTCCTTGCAGGCTCCTACTTACTAATTACGCCCATGACAAACACTGTCTCTTTCATAAAGCTTCACAGTCTCCCCAGGCTGCCTTGACGGTTCATTGCACTTTGCCTAGGAATGCCACAGGGTCATTAATTGCCTGTGATGATCTCAGGGTCTGCCTCCCTGAGCCCCTTGAGAGTGCAGCACCAATCCCACTACCTGGCACACAATGGAAGCAAAAGGGCTTTGGTTGTTTCGACAGGATGCCAAATTATATTCCTTCTATCAGTATAAGGAATTAGGAGTTGCCTGTGTTGTGAGTAAAAGATCTCAAAACTACATTTTTTTTCTTTCAGTTATTCTATATTCATAAAAAAGAATCAAGCACTGCCACCTGCAGACAGGTTTGTCATTTGCAGCATAATGCAAACAGCCCAAGGATAGCCCCTTTACTTGCAAGTGCTTAACAATTTCTTGCGTCAAGAACAATGCATTACTGTACCTTTCCTAAGGTGAGATTCCCATCCTTGTCACAAGGCCAGAAAGAACCTTTTGACTCCTCATATAAGCTGTAGTCTCCGGAAGAGAAGGCAGGTTCTCTTCACTTTAAAATGTTTCTAACAAAACCAAAACAACCACAAATTCTTCTTTGATTTGGAAGGCTAGAGGGTAAATAAAGGCAGTGTGTGTGTAAACACAGGCGCGAACGTCTGATGTGCAGAAACGCAAACACACTACCATTCACTGGCAGAGGCTAATGACTTTAATGACCAGAGCTGACAATGGAAGTGCAAATGGGATGCCAGGGATGCACACTCGTCCTGGATCTCCTTATGCTGCATGCTTCCACCGTGTGAGAACAGGGATATGGGATGTGCTTTCAGTAAAGCACCATTTCTGAACTCTCACCCATACACCATTTCTGAGGCAAGCCATTTCAGATACCTGGAAAACTCATCTATGAAAAAAAGACTAATTGCCATTTCATCATTGAAAAGAGCCTTCTAGCAGCTGGTTGTTTAAAAAGCATACACCCTTCCTATAACCGTATTTCTTCAGTTATCAACATGGAATTTCATCATCAGTGATTTCAGTGAAAGAGCCATATAATCCCTGCCCTGTTAACATAGCCACAGCTATTTCTGACAAGGAAATAACAGGTTTTCCTTTTGTGACTAAGTCCTGTCATTAATAACCCATGATAAAAGGAAGTGGGAACTCAGGGTAGGTTGCAGGGGGGGTAGGGGGGGAAGACTGGGGGTGGGAGGAGCGAGGAGAGGAGGATCTGTGATTGGTATGTAAAATGAATAGAAAATGTCTTAATAATAATAAAAAAAATTGAGCCATGCGGCAGGATAAAGAATTAACTTACACACACACACACACACACACACACACACACACACACACAACCCATGATAACATCACTATTCTCCTTAAATGGATAGAAAGAGCTACACCCACTTGTAAATTGCTGGCATATCAAGAAACAACTTTCTTTAAAGCTCCCGTAAGTACTTCTCATTCTGAAGTTCACCATTAATCTATCACAGTCTACCAAAACCCTAGTGTCGTTAATAAAACACAACAAGAGGTAAGTTTTCCCCTGGAGAAGGAAGTACAGAAAATCTCCTGCTACAGAACAGCCTGTGTCAGGCAAAGGTACTGGCAACACAAAAAGGCTTTAGCGTAAGTGGGGCCAGGGGAGCTGCTGGGGGTCTAATCTCTGGCTCTGTAGGTGCTACCAACATGTCTCCTCCAGTCACTGGTCTTTCTGTAATGCAGTTCTATCAACCCGCACTCACAGTGTTAGGTGGGAATCTATGTAAAATAATTAGAGGCTCGAGGCACATGCTACCTAAGAGTAGCTGTTCTTTTTATAGTGGAAACAGTTAGTCCAAGCTCTTGGTGAAGCTGACGAGAACTAGCTGTTGAGCAAGACAAGGCAAATGGGCCCATGCACTGGGGATGGGACAGACTTGCCTCCAAGTGGTGTTCCAAAACAGCAGCCGACCCCCACGGCACAGCCCACTGTCAGGATGTCAGTGTAATAGTATGGCTGCTACTAGGGAGAGACAGACAGATGGACAGACAGACAGACAGGTAGGAGGGGGAAGGGCAGGGCAGAGAGATGGGAAACAAAGAAGAATGAGAGGCCTACATCACAGGAATGAACATGGTCCCATCATCCCTGTGGTTCCCAGGCCAGGAGAAACTCAATGAGTTTGGCAACCAAGAAGTGACCTCCTACACTCAAGGCCAACAACTGAAAACAAACTAAGGAAAATGTTAAGTAAATAGACATCAGGCAGGCAAAGGAACAGATAATGGCCGAACAAAGAGGGGCCGCGGATAAGCAGCAAGAGGCAGGCCAGGACTTCACTCCGATAGAAAGGTAGTAGAAACGCCTGCAGGAGAGAGCAGCGGTGTCAAAAGAACACTCGGCTCTGTAGCAGAAAGGCGTGGGTCCCTAAAGACCACAGGCAACGATCCAGTCACTCCCTGGATGCCCACCCATCAGTCCCTTCACTGGCCCCTCTACCCAAAAGCTACAGCCGACACCCACCCGCCCCTCCGAGTCTGGCTCAGGCAACCCAGGGAGGGAGGAAGTGAAACTTGCCTCCAACAGGGGCTGCAAAGCAGCATCCCACGCCCACTGCACAGGCTGGCACCAGGAGATCAAGCTGCCCAGGCACGGTCTGCAACAGAGAAGCACGACGGGCAAGGCAGGTGGGACAGACGGGCAGTATGTAAACCAGCGTGGGCGCGTGTCAGGAACTATAGACGGGCGGGGCGGCACAGGAGGGAACGTGGAGAGGGACTGACCCAGTCCATGTGGGGACGAGGGTGACACGGGGCGGGCCTGGCTCAGGTCGCCATAGAGGGCACAGGTCAGGAAGGGCTAGACACTAGGAAGACAGACAGAAGCTGGACGGAGGGGATGCTATGGCTAGGATCAGCAGGCACGGACATGGAGAACTGGAGCGTGGGTTAGTGAGATGCCGCCAAGGCCAGCCCAGAGCAGGCAACCCTCCCCTGCTCTCCGCACACATTTGAGGGCCTCCTTCTACCAACCAGGCCCTGCTGTGCGGTACCCCGCCTCACCCTCACCTCGTAGACACCACAGAACACGGACATAAACTTGCTCAGGACAGCAGCGCAGATGCTGGCAATGTGAACAAAGGGACCCTGGAAGAGAACGGGGGGAACCAGGGATCAGGGATGGAGGAGAAGCACGGAGACTCCCTCCGTTGAATTTCCTGCTCCAGGCCCTGGGCTAGGTGAAAGAGAGAAGCCAGATAAGAGCTCTGCCCTCAAGGAGCCTCATCCCAGAGAGGAAGAGATGATGAATCAGTGTGTTTTCAGATAATGCTAGGGCTAGGAAGCCAACCAAGAGGAGTAAGGCAAAAGAGGTAGGGTGGGGAGAAGAAGGTGTCCTCCCCTGGCCAGTCACCACCTGGGTTAGCGCCTTGAGTGATAATTACATGAGGGAGTCTCATGGGCGTCAGAGGGCGAGTGTTCTTGGCAAAGGGAACAGCAAACGCAGGGGTCCTGACTGGGACAAGCGTGACATGGTGGACATATGGGAAAAGCCTTGTCATCCAAGCACAGGGAAGCAGGCAGGTGGTGAGGCTGAAGACCCAGACAGACAGGAAGAGGTGGATCAGCCTGGGGCTAGTCAGCTGTTGGGAGGAGTGCAGAACTTATATTAAGTGATATGGAAGGCTCATGAGACAATATTGAGTAGAGGGCAGAGGTGTCCAGTTCTGTTCCGTTTTGAAAGATGCTTTGGCTGCTGTGCGGAATTTGATGCTAGAGGGCAAGTGTGCACACAAGGCTGGAGTTTAAGAAGCCTAGCTGTCACCTTGAAGAAAGAAGTCTCATTCTAGGTCTCAGTTTTCTCATGTCAAAATAAGGGGAAACCAAAGACTGTGCTGATGAGGCTAGCCTGGAATACATTTAAGTTTCCAGTGAGCCTGAGCTACAGGATGAGACTATTTCAAACAAGCAAACAACTAAACACCAAACAAAAATAGGCAATAAATAAATGAAAAATAAATTGGACAAGGAGATTGGTTCAGATTATGTAGAGGACAGACATTTTGTAGAGACGTTCTGGTTGTCATAATTGGGACCTGCTACCAGCATCTATAGTTAGAAGCCAGGGATAATGCTAGCATCCCACAAGGCACAGAGCAACATCCCTTTTCCCAGCAGAGTTTTCCAGTCCCAACCCATACTTATGTCCAGACTGAGGGGCTGCTGTAAGGTCTCCCCAACTTTAACAGTCTGTCACCAACGACAGGGTAAGGAATGAGGGTGAGGAACGTCCAAGGCTTCCCCTTTGTTACTGCCTTTTGGCCCTGGCTGAGTCCAGTCAGCTCTGTCAGCCCTTCGCTCAGCTATGCAGACCTACCTCCTTCCCCACAGGGATGCCACTGCCCAGCCCAGCTGTCAAGGCCACCACCTTGGCTACAAAGGCCTTGAGTGTGAGGTACTCCTTCAAGACAACACCACGAAGAATTGTCTTCATCTCAGGGATTCCAGAACCTAAAAGTGTTTAAAAAAAAAAAGGATAATGTACAGGTTTGAGCTAGAGTTTAAATGGGAGAGGAAAGCAGAACTGGAGAAGGAGATAACTGTGGTGAGGCCTCAAAGGAGTCTGGAGGGTGGAGGGAGTTCAGAGTGGGAAGTCTGTAAGAAACCAGACTGCATCATCTTATAGAAAGCACTCACCCACAGCCTGGGGAGAGATGAGTTGGCAAAAGAGGGCACTGAAGAGGATGAGGATAAGTGGGAAGGTGACCCAGGCCAGGTACTGCAGAGGAAGGCTGGGCTGCATCTGGGCATAGGTCCACTTGTAGGCTGCAGGGACATGAGCACAAAGCCTGGGACAGTCAGGGTCTAGGAAAGGTTGACAGCGGGACCATCTCACCACCACCCTCACACTCACACCACCAGATAGCATGCCAGCTTGCTCTCATGCCCTGGGCATCTTATATGCCTGGCCCCAGGGCATTCCTTTCACTGTACAGTAGGAACTCTGAGTTGAGGGAGGTGGCTATCTGTCCAAAGTTCCCTCTGGCAGAGGTATCTATGTGGTGGCTGTGGTGCATGCCACTGTTGAGTAAGAGGCTGTAGCACCTGGCTATAGGCCAGAGGGTGACCACTGACAACTGAAAGGGACTCCTGGGACTTGGAAATTTCAGTGATGAAACTAGGAGGGACCCTGGGAAAGCTGCCCAAGTCAGTCAGCCTGTCTAAGGGGCACTTATAGTTTGGGTGGCAGCTGGCAGGAAAGGCCTAGGTGGTGATCTGGTTTCCAATTAGTTTAGTTTTATCTGGAGTCAGAGTCATACCTGACCACCCATGCAACATGCTCAGCCCAAACACACCTGGGCTACCCGAGACAAGAGCTCAGAAACAGTTTCAGTGTGGAGAAGGTAGAGGGCAGCAGTCCAGGGAGAACCTACCCTGAAGGCTCTTGGCACTAACATAGTCCATGCACCAGCTGACTAGAGCCATCAGTAGGCCCAGGAGCACAAGAAAGATCCAGTCTTCCCCCAGCTTCCTTCTGACCACGCGTCCCAGGCGGTGGACACAATCTAGGAAGAGGGAAGGGTCAACAAGGGGGAAAACAGCTCTCTAGTCATTTCTTGAGGGGCAGGCTGAGGAGTGGAGATGGGAGCGCCTGTGTATGAGTCACTGGGCATCTCTTCACACCTCTGCCAGTTGGTGTGCCCATCCTGCCGGGAAGTACTACAACCATACTCTCTGCGAATACATGAATTTCTATGCAAAACTCACTTCTTTCCATTGGGAAAGAAGAAACAAGGCAAAGTACTAAGGAGGTGGAGGGGAGATGTCTTTTGCTTACTCAGAAGAGGGCTTTGGTGTGTGACAGGTTTGTTGTGTGTGTGTGTGTGTGTGTGTGTGTGTGTGTGTGTGTGTGTGTGTGTGTGTGTGTTGGGAGATGTGTGATGAGACATCCAAGTTACTCTCTCAACCCTGTACCTCCTACTCCAGATTCCTTTAATTCTCAGTCCCCATCACCTTGACATTTAGAATAGTGGTCCTCATCCAAGGTGTCCACGGTAGAACTGGAGCCCGTCTTCTTGGGCATTCCCCTGTCTTGTTCCTTACATGAATATTTCTCTTTGTGATGGCCATATATCTGTATGGGTGAAGAATGGTCAGTGTCTATCTCGTTGAAGAGTCAGAAAGAATACAGAAGACATCATGTAGACTTAGATTTGCAGAGAAGAGGGAACAGGTTTTGAATCTGGACACTGAAGGCTGCTGTAGGGTACTTTAAGGTCATCCCATCTCACATCTTTACTGTCTGTTCACACATGTCTGTTTTCCATTTTTTGTTCAACCCTGCTTCTGTTCCACCATTTTCCCCCAAACCAGGCACATCTTGATCCACAGTAGCTTTATCAAGGAAGTTAACTTATTCTTAGAAGTGAAGGTACTAAGGATTGTGCAGAAATCATACATCCATATCACATAGGCATTTCATGTGTCACCCTGTGTTCCTCATGTCTCTATATTTTCCTGGTACCTCTGCATTTGACTTCCCACCTCAGGATCCCAAATTAGACACAGAGAGGCTGTACTAACCTAGTTAGCAATGGACTCTGTTTTTACGGGGCCAGATGGTGGCCGCTTGCATTTTGCCTTGGTATGCTTGTCTGCCTGGAGACACTCAGCTTCCTTACTGAAGTTGTACAAAGTCCATCCTGCTCACATTCCAGAGCTTGTAGACACAAACAGGAACTGGGCTCAGAGAGGCAACTTAATCTACTTCCCAAAGTACCCTAACTGGGTTCTACCAACAAGTGAAAGGGAGCAGACCCACCCCCCTGTTAGCATTTGTGCTGTGAAGGATGTAAGAGTGCTAATCATTTCATGCTGGTCCCACACACCCTATACCAACTCATCCTCTGGGGCCAGGGTCAGGCCAGGCCATGTGGCTCATTCTGGAAGAGCCTGGGTAGAAGAGATCTTATTTCACAATATGAGCAGCAGTTTGATGTTTTGGTCCTGAGCAAGCACATACTAATTATCCTGCTCATGAGTCTAGTGACCAAGGAAAGCAGCATTTCTCTTCAAACTCTGCCCATGACCCAGAGATAAAAAATACTTCCAGCTGGGCATGGTGGTGCACACTTTCAGTCCCAGCACTCAGGAGGCAGAGACTTTGTGAGTTTGAAGCCAGTCTGATCTACATAGAAAGTTCCAGGCCAATCAGGGATACATAGTATGATCTCATCTCAAAAACAAACACACACAACAAACCAGAAAATATTTCCATTGAAGATCAACTACTGGGGCTGCCTAAGCACTCTGAATTGTGGACTGGGAGAAATGAGGAAACAGCGTGCTCTCTTCCAACACTCAGGCTGGGGAAACACTGTAAGAGCCAGATGTATTCTGCTGGTCCAGCAGTAACCACCACACTATGGCAGGTTTAGAGGGGAGCGAGAAATCAAAACCCAAATGTACAAGTGATGGAATGTCTGCAAAGTGTAGAGAGTCCTCTAGTGTGTGCAGGGCTGAGGGTGGCAATGGGGGACAGAACCATCTTGACAAAATGCTGATGATTGTTGAATCCTGGGAGCTCATTACGCCATCCTAGTCTTTGTATAAGTCTGTATTTTTCCCTCACAAGCATTAGACAAAGAAAACATTACATTCCTGCTTGCTTTCAAAGTAGGTTGGAATCCGGATAAACCCTGCTCCCAAACTAACTTGCCTTTTTTTCCTACACGAAGCATCAGTTCTTTTAACCAAGTGTCTTGTCACCAGAAAGGGCTCTAACTAGCCAGATGGTGGTGGTGCACACCTTTAATCCCAGCACTTGGTTGGCAGAGGCAGGTGGATCTCTGTGAGTTCAAGGCCAGCCTGGTCTACAGAGTGAGTTCCAGGACAGCCAGGGCTACACAGAAAAACCCCAATCTTATAAAAAAAAAAAAATGCCCTAACTGCACCTTTGCTCAAGTGGTCAGCCTGCCTTCTCCAGAAATGTGGCACTAGGGTGAGAATGAGCTGGCTTTGACATTTATGTCCTGATCTTCAACACACCTCTGGGACCTACCCTTAGCAACTGCTCAGAGAACGGATCCTCACGACCCTGTGCTGACACCATCCACACAGGCCACCTCCAGGTTCCCAGCCTGACTCTGTCAGCAACACCCTTCTGCAGTCTGCTCTCTTTCCCTCAAGACTCTTTCCATTCTGTCCCATTCTGTATGCTTGTAGGTAAGAGGCACACTTATTTACATTAATAGTGACTTGTAAATCTTCCAAAGCAATTTCACCTTTCCTGTCTTGTGCCCATCCCCATTTCTCTTCTCTTAGTTGTCCATATACCACTGATCCCCAAGCCCTGGATGGCAATTGCCTCTGGACACAGCTCTGCACTTTCCTAAGTATCTTACATTTCATAGGAATCTTAAATTGTTTTATAATTAATGTGTGTGTGTGTGTGTTTGTGCGCACGCGTGCACACGAGAGAGAGAGAGAGAGAGAGAGAGAGAGAGAGAGAGAGAGAGAGAGAGAGAGAGAGAGAGAGAACACAACCTGTAGCAGTGGGTTTTTTCTTTCCACCATGTGGGTCCCAGGAATTGAACTCAGTTTGTCAGGCTCGGAGGCAAGCACCTTTTACTTACTGAATCATTTTGCTGGCCTTTTCACAATTATAACAATACTCCAAAAAACAAGACCCCAGAAACTCACACAAGCTAGGTAAATGTTCCACCAGAATTCTACCTCTAAGCCCTTAAAAATTGGACACCATTTCTGTGCCCATTTTAATACTGGTCATTGATCATTGATAAATCATTTGTTTCCCCCGCTTGTCCCAATGCCTTTCTTCTGACTTTTGTGCAAGTGTGTGTGTGTGTGTGTGTGTGTGTGTGTGTGTGCATGCATGCATTCTACAGGGCATTCACTGAGTTAAGAAACCCCAGTCTGTCTGCATGTAGGTGAGGGTAGAGGAGATCCTCATAGCATTTACAGTTCCTACAAGAACCACTCTGGTTACGTAAGCATGTAAGCATGCATTCTTCATGTTAGCGTGGCTCTGCTGGGTTCCCACACGGTTCAAATATTCTGCTAGTAAAGGCTATTTGAAAGTGCACGCAATTCTTAAGTAAATACACTAAGCTCAGATCTTTAAAAGGCTTTCATATTTTGAACGTATTTACCATTTAATTTTCAAAATGAACACCGTTCCCCCTTCTCACCTAACTCCCAGGTCCCACCAATCCTTGGCCCTGCTGACACCTGCCTGCTGTTTCCCTCCCACCCAGACTTTACCTGTGTTGGGTGGGCATTGTGCCTGGGACCCATGTCCTTTCGGGGCCGGTGCTGAAGGCCCCCATTCTCTGAGGGCAGTCCATAGCTGGTACAATGTTCAAAGGGCATGTACTGGTACTGGGGGGCACTGCCCCACCAGCTTTGTTCACCCCCATGCTGCTGGGAGTAGGACTGGGACCTCTCCATGTGTCCTCCCCCAACCCCCAGCCAGGCCTTGGCCTGCTTGCTCCCACTTTCCCCCCAGTAGCTCCTTAAGCCTCTGCTTTTGCCTGTCCCCAAGGCGTCTGGGGCACCATGCCCACCTCCAGCTATTTATAGCTATCACTCCATCACATGACATGCCCCCCCTCACAGTGCCACATCTGATCCTCCTGGGGTCGAAGCAGGTGTGAGTGCAGTGTGGGGGGTGGGGTTCGGATGAAAACCTGTGGGACTGTCCAACAGGGAATTCCCTCCTAGAGCCAGCAGTATTGTCCCTTCCCTAGGAGGCTCACAGCTCCAGGTCACTAGTCCCTCTATAAATATCATTAGGACTGCAATGAAAAATTTCCTAGTGCAATTTCTAGGCTGTGTGTAGAACTGAGTGTAGAACTTCCTTGAATACCTCATGGGAGGTGAGGGGAGAGAGAGAGAGTCGAATGAAGCCACTCAGAATTCTGGTAACATTAGACAGGCAACTCACCTGCAAGAGTAGCTGACGCCTCTCTGCCACCTCTCCCTGTCGGGCTGTCTTCAGCTCGGTATCTCTTAAGGGTTCAGTCCTCATCTGGACCCTGAATTTTTCTGTGGCCAGCTCTCCACATACATCCCATTCCCAGCTTGCTGCCCTTGAGTCTGGCAGAGGCGGCTAAAAACACTGGAGTGCCTCCCCCTTGACCCCACCCTTATCAGCCACTGGGTGTGGAATGGTGTGGGAAGCAGGGGTAGTAGCCTTGGGTTCTGCAGCATCTCTCAGTTCCCAGACACACGTGTTAGCCCCATCAGCAGCTCAGATCAAGAGGGAGGGACTGAGCTTCCATCTGGAATGTGATGTCCATGACAGCTCTACCGCAGTAGGTAAGATAACAGGTAAGAAGAGGAAGTAGGCTAGAGTCATAGGGAAGGTGAGAGTGGGAACCCAGTAAACCAAAGAAGATGGAGTGGTAACCTGCTCTTTCCTAGTCAATAAATTAAATTTGACGAAGGACAAAGTACTTCATAAGGCATTGCGTTTTTCCCATCAATTTTTCTAAGACATTCTTTCCCGATGAACTCATTATAGAAGAAACTAAGGCAAACTGAACTTCAGGATCCACCATCAAGAGTGGTCAGGAACTGAAGGGTATGGACACTGAATCTCTGGTCTGCAGTATGATTCTGACCTAAGCCAAATGGAATTGCTCAAAGTGGGAAGCTAGACACCGTTAAAAGTACCGTTTCTTTTGCAATTAAAAAAATTAATTTTTACTGTCATTATTTTTATTATGTGTCTGTGTGAATGTACTCATGAATACAGGTACCCGTGAGCCCAGGTGTCAGATTCCCCTGCAGTTGGAGTTATAGCAACTGTGAGGGGCCCAACATGATGCTGGTGGATCCTCTACAAAGACAGTAAGTCTTTTAACCATTGAGCCATCTCTCTGGCCTTAAAAAAAAAAAAATCAGTGTGTGTGTGTGTGTGTGTGTGTGTGTGTGTGTGTGTGTGTGTGTGTGTGTGTCTCAGAGGACAACTTTTGGGAATTGATTCTCTCCTTCCATGTGGATTCCTGGGCTTGAACTCAGGTCATCAGCCTGCAAGTGCCCTTACAAGAGTAGTCTTGCTGGCTCAACAATACCTTTTCTAGATGTTGAATAACATTTATCAAAGAGAGATATACATGAAAACCAGTGAGACATCACATCACACCTGTTAGGGCAGCTGACACCAAGGACAAGTGTGGCTAGCACTGGTGAGGATGCAGGGAAAAGGGAACTACTGGGTACGAATAGTGGGAGAAACTGTCATGGTCCTTACGGTAAACAGTAAGTTAGAAGCAGAGCTACTGTATGACTCAGATCCTACTTATGTTTATAGAGAGAGGAAAACAAACCACCATCTATCAGATATCTGTTCTTTTGTTCACTGTGGCATATTCACAACAGCCAAGATACAAAAACTACCTCCAAGTTTGTCAACAGGTGAATGCATAAAGGACACGTACACACATGACTCAGCGGCAAAAAAGACACTTTCTTTTAGACAAGGCTAAGATGTCAGACATATTCAAATACTGTGCTGGCCATTTATATGCAGAATCGTAACACATACAGAGTTGAAGGCCATGGGCTGAGATGGAGTGGGCTTTGGGAATCTTGGGAAGATGCCGGTCATGGGCACACTTGAGTTATTCAGCTCTGAGTTTTAGAGAACTAATAAACATGGTGGCTACAGTTAGCAATACTGTACTGTGTACCTGAAATCTGCTAAGGGTGCATACATATACATATAGGCAATGTGAGGTGACGGTTAAGAACCTGGATCCTAGGGATGATCATTTCACAATGCATATATGCTAGTTTATCACGTTGTGTGCCTTCACTATGAATACCATTTCTAATAGTCAAGCTGAAAATAATAAAAACATCATTTCTAGAATCAGTCCTGAGATTGCAAGGCTTACGATCCACCCACTAAGTTACAAACATGGGATGGGAGAGGGAGTAACAGGTCAGATGAAGACAACAGGGATTCCTAATAAAGAACGGAGACTGTGTATTCTTGGAGGCCTTCAGACGTCTTTACACATGTGTGGAGCCTGGCTCTCGGAGGTGACCACTTTCTGCAGGAAACTAAAGCAGAGCTGTGTGGTCATGGACTGAGATCCGAAATCACAGATGAGCAGGGACTGCAAGGAGCCCACACCTTGCCAAGCTGAGTGGGGAGGCATTCAGTCCACAGGAAAAGTACCAACTGCAATTATAAGACCCGGACTCTCAAGGCAGGAGCATCAACATATATAGGCTACTAGTGTTGGACTGCAAAGATTTAAGAGTTAAATAGCTTGTGTTCAAAATGAAGAGTAGTTTAAATCCCATGAGCTAACATTTTACAGGAGAACTAAATGTAAACTATGCCCACCCACTACTCCAAATTCTTGTTGGGCTTGGTGCTTAGGCTCTGACTTAGAAGGTCCCAGTGGGCTGTGGGTAGTCCTGCAAAGGTCCTAAATTTGGAAACAAATTCATAAGTAAGCATGTATGTGTACTCTCCTAAAGTTTTAAACCATCTCCTATGGTCCATGATACTAAGATTTAAATTATACAAGAAGATGGGGATGTAAGTAGCTGTGTATGAGATTTGTCTTTTAGCATCTCTACCCTCAAATTTTAAGAACTGATTGATTTTCTTCCCAAGTTATGCTCGTGATCTGCTAGTTTGACCTCCCCACTGCCCAGGGCAATAAATATGACTGAAACTTTGCAGTACTGGGGACTAAAGTGAGGCCAGGCTAGTCAAGCATCCTATCACTGAGCGGTACTCTCACCCAAACATCACTGTGTCTATGTGTGAAACAGGCAGGTTCATTACAGCCAAGTGAAGCATGCCCGAGGGCAGATTAGACAAGGGGTTTGACGAAGGGTGTCATGCAAAGGGGTCATACCCTGAAGCATCACTCTTTAAGGATGTTTTTATCCATCTCTTTTCCTGTGTGTATCCAGGCAGCATGGAATCCATATCCACCTACTTCCTGTCATTTCAGCAAGCACTTTCTCCAAGGCACTTGGCTTGCAGCAGGCCTCACTCCATAATACTCTCTATCCTTTTAAGAATCCTTGGTGTAACAGGCTTTGTTGACTTCCCCAACAAGGAAGCCTTACCTTGTTGGAGGGAATGGGGGGTGGGTTGGGGAACAAGGCTGGGGGTGGGGGGCGGAAGAAGGGAAGGGAGGGCGGATCTGTGGTTGGTATGTAAAATGAATTAAAAAAAAAAAAAGAATCCTTGATCTTTTCCCATGCTCTGCAGATTAGGCCTTCTGGTGTAGTATATCCATTTTTTCATCTGTTCCTGTCTTGTTGAACACAGTATTTTCTTGGCATCCTCATTTTTAACCCTTACAGTGATTTAAGACATAAACCTTTTCCTTCTTTTTGGGTAAGGGCAAACAGAGACTGTTAGCTACCTAAGCCAGTGTCTCAGCATCATTAAAGGCAGTACTATCATAAAATCAGAGGTATGTGATTTTAGAGGACATGTCCTCAAACCTACCTACCTTTCTTTTTTTGATAGCTCAAAGTCTCTCCTGGGGAAAAACAGGGGAAGTGACTCCCTTATGCGACTCCAGGGAAGCAGGCTCCCAGGTAGGTGGCTGCAACACTCCACCAGCTCTAGCCCTGTGTCTTCCTCTTTAGACACTCCCCTCCCCTTCTTACAGCTTTGCTCTGGTGAACAGTTTCATTTCTTCCTGTTTTCCTTTCCTGTTTGAGAAAACAGGATGGGGAAGGGCAGCAGAGGGCGGCCCCCACCTCAGGGAGGGGGATAATTTTAGAAGAGAATCCCCTGGCAGAGGTAAGTGGGGGAAGGGAGGAGAGCTGTGAAATTCAACCTGACACCCTTATTCAAGGGCGGGTGGGAAGGACATGGACTCCAGCTCAGGCGGGCACCGCTCTGTAATTCTCCAACAAACCATACCTCCTGTCTTTGCTATCTTGAAAATGGGTACCTATGTCTACTTAACTTCTAGAATTTTGTATCCTCCCTCACTTGAACTACTTGTTGCTGTTCTATGGTACTCTGGTCAGTCGCCCCTATCCTATGCTCCTTTGCCCCCAGTGTTCTCCCACCTGCACTCCCTTCGCTGGCGACATGCTTTGACTCAGCTGGTTGACAGACACCCCTGTCATCCCTCAGCAGCTCTTTATACTCCAATGCTCCAATAGAATGTCCTGCTTCTCACAAGCCTCCCTAGCCACAACTCAAACATCTGCCTCTCCATGCATGCACCCCAACTTAGAGTCCATTGCTTACACCTTCTTATGGCCCACCTAGAATCTGCTACATTTTTGTCTATTTTGAAAAACCTTCAATCTAATTTGGGCCAAATGAAAAATGGAATTCCAGTATCCTCCCCACTTCTACCTCCCCTTTTCAGCTCTACCTGCTTTTCCAGCCTCCATCCCATAACCTAATAAGCTGTAACCAGTACTACTTGTTCCTCTAGCTCATCTGAACATGAGAACTCCCAGGGTTAGGCCAATGAAGACAGGCCCACATCTGGCCATACTGAAAGACAGTGATAACAAACTCCAGGGGTTTCAGATCTAGGCATGCCTTGTGAGGGGGGAGAAATGATGCAGCGTAAGGGATAAGGAAATGAAATACACAAGCTTTAGAAGACTGAGCAGCTACAAAAATAGACACCAGGCATACATCAGTAATAAGTACAACATTTATTTGGCACCTGATGGCAATACAAAATCTTGGCAGTGGGAAGTGTGAAGATTCTACCACACAAATATATGCATCCTATACTGACCCAAAGGCAGAATTTGGCAGCAAGTCTTCAAACCACCTGGTTCATACAACAAATATTAATTGAGCACCTCAACTACCATAGGCCTCAAATATGCTGGGCACCATGGAGATGTGAAGGAAGTTGTCTCACACGTGATATGTCTTCAAACGGTTTAAAAACAAACAATAAATCAGTGGATAAAAATAAAACACCTGAAAAAAACCAGAAGAGTACAAATACTAATTAAACTGCATACTATAATAGCAATTTAGAAATTGTTAAAGGCAGGATTTAACTAGAGTTAGCTGCTTGCCTCCTTCCTTTATTCAAGAAACATTCACTGAAGACCTAGTAAGTTCCAGGTACTGGGTATACAGTAAGTAAGAAACATGGTTTCTGCTCTCTGGGAGCTTTCAGCTTAGTAGGGAAGGTATCAACAAGCAAAACATGCAAATGTGCCTTTACAAACCGCAGTAAGCACAATGAAGGGCCACCAGGATGCAGTCAGAAGAGGTACAGAAGACTGCTCGTAGATAGCATGGACCAGAGGCCTTCACTAGACTCGAGAATCAGATACTATCCTAAAGAAGTGCTCAAAACACCTGCGGCAGTGAAGGAGGAACTGAGAGGGGCTGGAGCACAGTGAGAAATCACCATTTACTGAGATCCAAAGGGAAGGTAAGAGCCAGATCTCATAAAGTGGGGTAAGGATTTGAATTTTAGATGAGGTGTAACAGGAAGCTAGTGTTCTAAGCAGGGCAGTGACATCATCAGATATTTTAAAAACCGAAACTACTGTTATGTGGAGAATAAACTGGGAGAGAAGCAAAAATGGAAATGCAAAAGGTTTTAAAGAATAAAAAAGTTTCATAAAAGCAGAGACAAGTGCTTCTAGGTTAATGGTCTATCACGTATGCTACTATCCTCACTAACACAGAGACAGTGAGAAGGGGGTAATGCCTCCTAACACTGAAGGAACCGCATGCTCAAGCAGATGGCAGGAACAAGATACAGCACACCCTCAGTGGCCAGAAGATCCTGCAAAGGAGGACTTCACAGACTTGGCAGAAACAGTGAATGGGAGGAAAATGAAGAGGGGAATCAGTGCAAAGCAAGAAATTTCCTGGAGACTGGATGTGAAGTTCAGTTTAACTGCACAGCAGAAATCACAGTAAGGAAGGAGACATCCTGGTGACAGGTGACAGTGTGAGACACAGCATGTTTACCTATCACTGCGTGTTTATATTGAAATGCCTACAAGGTTCATTTCGGTGACAATTCAAAGAAAGCATGACCAGGGAACTGTCCACAACTTCCAGTGTCACAGCATGCAGACCTGAGGCTCTGGTCAAAGGCTGGGTGCACAGAGCACAAGGAGCCCAGGGTAAAGCTGAGGACATGGTTCTTCACCTCAGGCCTACACTCAAAAGTATGCACAGGAACTTCTGCTCACAGTAGCAGTGTCTAAGTCTCACTGCCTCATCAAGATAGATGAACATACCCACATTAAATTGGGACATCTTCCAAATCTTCACTGTGGGATAAATGAGGTTGTAGATATGAAAAAAAGATAGGAGATGATCTCTGAGATACCTTAAATGATGTAAAAAAAAGAAAAAAAAAAAGCAATAACCAAAGTATCCCTAAGAGCCTTCGGAACAGAAATATCAAACATTGAGAAATCCACATGCTCTCTCCCCACAACAATACTGTGTTCATAATGTCATTTTCCAGGCTCTTTGGCTGTAACCAAAATGCTCCTGGCAACAAATCCATTCAGAGCTGGCTCTACAGGGAGAGAGCACCACACGGGAAGAGCTATCCTTAAGTCTCATACCCAAAGATGGAGATGGCCGACAGGAAACAAGCCTGGTAGTCTTTTATCCCTGAGGGGGTAGACAGAAAAACCATCTTGAAGAGAAGGCTCCATTGTGCCCCCAGCAGTCCAGTGGCCTCCAACAGCATGAACAGCAGGTGGCATCACGTGGGTGGGTGGCCTGGGAACAGGAAGAGCTGCCGACACAGAGTACTACAGTACTCAGACATCTCTTTGCATCGGTGGAATTCTGTGCCAGGGGCGTAGCCTTCACGCTCTTTGATAAGGGCATTCACCTGGGAAGGCAGAACCAATGGTCCAAAGTCTGAGATCACTTTGTGCTCCCACAATACAGACCGACCAGAAGGGTAGACTAATAAAGTGTACAAGGCAGGAAGGAAGGAGGACACTGGAGATGCAAAGGTTTGTAGCGCCAGACGGCACTGACTTACCTTAACCAGCATGTCAGCCACGTGCATGTCACAAGCTCTTTCTGAGAAAACCCGAGTGAGGGCTTCAATGTACCAGGAACCCCGTTTGGTGTTCCGCATGGCAGCAGTGCCTACAACCGGGGTGTGAAGGTCATGGGCAATCCTCATAAAGACAGACTTCTATGGCCTCTTCTACCCTCCCTAGTCAGGTACGGAAACAAAACAAACCCAAGTCTAGGACAGTATAATCTTCTACATTTATATTGTGTCTCAAAATACCTTTCAGGCAAGCATAGCCACATATCATGTCCGAGCGAGTAGGTAGTCTCATCTTCATTAATTCCTCTTTGCCAGCATCACTCTCCTCACATCCAGGGGATTGTGGGTGGTTCTTTCCATCTTGCTGGTCGACCCCTCGATCCGTCTCCTCTATCAAAAGACCGACAGAAGAGACAAAGATGTTACTTTCTCCCATCTTTTACAGACCTGTCACAGGTCCACCCAAGTTCCCTCTGTCTCGACTGAAGAGCCATTTCCAGCTGCTGCTCCAACCTATGGCTAATGAACTAAAAAATAAATAAATAAAAAATTAAAAGTCATTACTTTCTAGACACGCATCCACCACTCAAGGGGTAACTTCTAAAAACCAGGCACATGCACCTATACAGTTCTGAACATATCTCATTCTGCCTAAGGATAAAAGTGCCAAATTAAGTACTCCTTGCAAATGGAATTAGAAATCATCACATTAACTTGTTCAGTTAGTAATGTATAGAAATAACACCTTTTTTTGCTGTATTAGACAAGAAAATAGTGATATTCAGTCTTATAAAAATAAATCTGCTTCCTATTCATATTCTACATTAAAATTACAACCTCAAACTATGGTCCCAGTTTAAAAAAAAAAGAACAAAACCAAACCTCTGAGACTAAGTGTGATCAGAGGTTTTCACACTTCTAAAGCTTTTTTTATACTAGACAACTTGTTTATCAAGTTTGCAGGACAAATTATAGCAGGTGGTCAAGGTTAGAGAAGTTCAAAAAAGGGAGAACTTAAAATTAGAACAAAATGGAGTATTTTCTCCTACAAAGTGAACAACTAACAACAGGCTGCTGTTTATTTTAGGGTTAGGCAGGAATCACGGCTGTAGAATGAGATAGCGTGAAGGTGCACACGTCAGCACACCATACCTAAGAGCGTGGCCTTCCACACGACGTCCTGTGTAAGACTCAAGAGCAGAACGAACTGATGTTCCAAGAACTTTTGGGAAAAGTTCATTAACTCAAAAAAAGTTTTGTTTTTTTTGTTTTTAAATTAAGCATCGTACATGTACTAGGCACAGTCTTCTACCATGATCTAAGATCTAGGGACACACTGAGTTAAAAACAAAGGAGAACAAAACAAAAAGCCAAACCAAAACACCATGCTCTCATCAAGCTCACTCTCTAGTTTGGGAGTCACTGTATCACGGGAAGATTGGCAAGTTCAAATCTTCAAAAAAGCATTGCCTTCGAGTCACACTTTAATGGACTGGACTTTAGACAAGCGCAACAAAAGATTCAAATGACTCCAGAAAAGAAGAAATTTCTTCATCCAGCCCTAGCACTACATATAATTCTGAGGTGGGAAGAAAATGACCACTAACATTTTCTTTTTGTTACTGCCTCTTAAGCGATCCGGCCAGGCTACACATATCCTTTAAGGGATGGAGAGCTTGCATCTTGCCTTCGAGTTTCAGGCCTATCACTCAGTAAACATTATCATCTTTTCTTCACAATTGATTTCTATAGTATTTCAATTTTCGGACATAAATCTCCTAACTTTTAAGTGTTGCTGTGTGTAAAGCAGTGCTCCGGGTCTTTCTCTAAAGAAAATGCCTGCCTTTACATATTCTTTTCTTAGTGCGGTTCCTCCATGGTAACTTTCCTGAAAAATGCACCACACTATTTCATAGTTAAACTCCCCAAAGTAGTATCTGTTGAAGCTCAAAATCTCAGCTGCGACTAAAGGTTTGTAATTAGTTTGAGTAACTGCCTGTGATCGGCCACAGCTCACTAAATCGCTTACAGAGATGCTGAGCTTTTTAGATCTGAGTACTGTGGCTATGTTACATAATGTGGGGCATGGTAGCACACTGTATAACTAGAGGATGAATCTTATCATCTTGGGCTTGTCATGCTGCACCATCCCTTTTTCTGGGACTTTCTCCACACCTGCGTAAAACCATGTACCCATGGTCCAGGTTAAGCCTTTCCCTATCCACAAATATCTCTTCAAACTAACCTCAGATAAAACGATCCGTGATGAGTATGGGAGTAAGCCCAAAGCTGCTATTGCACAAACTGCACCCTTGCAAGGGAACTAGCCGCAAGCTGCTCTTCACGGATACTTGATTTCCTGAGTAATCCATATACTACTTAGACACACTTAGGTATTTTCTTCTGCTTCTGTGATGTCATTTATAGCCCTAGTCGCACTGCAGGACCTTAAAATATACCCCGAGAGAAACACAAGGCATCTGCATGTTTGGATATGGTGAACTTTAACCCAAACTATAAGGCATTTGAGGATGGTGATCACGTTCTAACAGCCATGGCTGGCTTTCTCTCCAGATTTACCATGAGCCAGGTACAAGCCAAGTAAGCATGTAGGTGCAAATTCACTTATCAACACAACAGCTTAAAGAAATTGTATATAATAACTCCCCACAGTTTAAGAAGGAAATGAAAGTGGAGGGATGTGAAGGAACTTCTCTAACTTCACATGGTTATTAAGTAGAGTCACAATCTGATTCCGAATTTAGACTCTTAATTACTACTGCTTTCTTCTAGATGAGAGGGAGGCCTGTGTGTCTTCTGAGCCATGTTCCACAGGCCTGGCTCTTAATGGGGTAGGAGAGACTGCATGCAAGAAAGAGGAGGATAGAAGCAGCTCAGAAGAGTCCGAGGCAGACATGGATGCTGTACTGTTCTCCTGCATGCTCTGAGAATGGTAAAGAAAGGAGGCAAGTGCATATGGCATTGTGAACACGGCAAAGACAGAAAATGGAAAAGGATAAGAGGGAAGATTTGGAAGAGACAAGCAGAAATCCTGAACTGGAATGAGAAACAAAACCAAGTACATTGCAGTTAATAAGCAGAGAAGAGGCCGGGTTCTTAGGAGAAAGGCAGATACTGGCAGGAGATTCCTGAGAACAAGATATGGAGGTGTTCAGAGCTGGCAGACTGAGAGCCGTGGGCTGCCCAAGTCCTAGCACACCCCATGCATTGGGAGACACTTACAGAGCAAGAGAGGCGGTGGCAGCAGTGAACAGAAGGAGGTGCCCAAGGGATCCAATAGCACCTGAGAGGAGCAAACAGCAGAGTGAGAGCTGGTGGAGGCTGCCCAGGAGCCACCACCCAGATGCTGGTTTGTCAGGGCACTCACCTCCACGGCATGCTTGGATGAAGAACATTTTCGGCTTGTTCTGTAGGCTTGGACAGTTAGCATTGTCAAAAAGTCGAAAAACCTCTTGGAGCTACCAGAAACAAATGAAGGAGAAGGGAAGTTAGGTAGCCAGTGAGATCTCTTAAATCCAATATATACAAACGCAGCCATCATCTGAAAGGTGGGGTGATGGCTGATCTTGTCAACTGGACTAGATTTATAACCCCTTAGGAGACACATCTCAGTGTGCCTATGATGGCACTGAATTTCCAGAAAGAACTAATTGAGGAGGAAAGACCAGGAGCCCAGACTGAAAGAAGGGTCTGGGGCAAACAAAGCCAAATATGCCGGCATCTCTTCTTCTATACTGCATGATCTACCCAAATGCAGGTATGTAGCCTTGTGCTGCTGTCTCCAGGGGAGAGTTGGCTTCCTTGCCACGGTGGATTATTGTAGTGGCCCACAAAGGTTTCCTAGTGAGATCTGAGCTTGCTTTACCCAGCAGGACTGCATTAGGGGATGGCCTGACCATGTACATGGTTACTAGGTGATTGGAAGGGTCTACACTTGGCTGTGCTAGGGGAAGGTCTTTTTGCTCCACCCCTTGGCATTCCTATAAATAGCCCTTTAGAAGAGACAGTAGGGGCCGGTGAGTTTTGATCCAAGCCCTCCCGAGGTTATCCTGTGTTTCTGTTTCTCTCCCCTCTATCCCTCTGCCTCATTTCTACTTAATGCTCTTATCCCTCTCTCCTCAAGAGTTACTTGTCATAAAAAAGTGGGAGCTGGTCTCCTATAGACTATACCCTCAAACAGGGAGCCCAGACAAACTGTTCCTCCCTTAAGATGTCTCGTCTTAAGTATTTGGTCTCAGCTCAAGAAAACTGATAGTGAAAACTGGTGCCAGAGACTGGGGTCAATATAGTAATAAACCTTCCCACATGGTTCACAGGCCTTTGGAGCTAATTTGTTGGAGGAACATCAAAGAGTCTGAAGCTGCAGGCTAGAAAGCCCTAAAATGGTGTAAGCAGGGCTTCATGGGCCATTTAAGTGGGAATTCAAGAGACCAAAGTGCAAAGACAAATACGAACACAGGCTAGGCTCAGGAGACCACAGAACAAAACAAGGACTCTGATGAGATCACACTGTGTTCTGCTCTGGTGAGGAATAAAGATGTAGTTTGTCCATATCTTGAAAACTTGAGGTTGAATTTAAAATAACGGACTAATTGGTTTAGCAAAGACTATTTTAGCGTAACATTCAGGCTGTGTGACACGGTTATCACTCATTAAACTTACCCACATTTATAGTGAGTGAAGTGTACAGCATAAAGATATAAAAATGTAGTTTTATGAAGAAAGGCTCTTGAGTTTGGTTCAAGTTAAGGACAGGGTGGGAGTTCTTTATTTTATCACCAGAATTTCTCAGATTCCCATGTCAAGGTTGTCAAGGTTCTCAAGGAGGATAGAACCTAGTGCTAGACATCATGGGAGAGAGCCATTAGAGCCATTGAAGCAAAATTTGAACTCTGCATTGGACAATAGGAAAGGTGCGCTGGGGTAAGATCCCAACCAAGAGAGTTCCAAGGTTGAGGATACAAATTCACACAAAGGAGAATACCTGAAAAAATAATTCTTAGGTGTTCCTGCTGGACACAGGATACCCATGGAAGTACTTTCCAAGGTTCAGCTAAAAGAGCAGAGGCTGCTGAAGCTATGGCTCAAGAGGGCCAGGCTGCACCTCAAGCTGGCAGCAGAGTGAGGTATAATCACAGATACTTGCACCAAGGTACCAGAAAAGCCACCATGGATAGGCAATGTGTAGCCTCAGCAGGGCTGGAGATCTGTATGGAACTCCTGAGTGGATCAAAGTTAAAGTGAAGTTTAAGTTGTAATGGGGAGCCCACATAATAGGGGAACCAGAAACATGGGACCTTTGCTAAGGAAAGTTGTTGGCACCAAGTGAAGCAGGCCCCAAAGAGCCCATATAAGCCATACACTAGAGCTGGAAGGACAAGTTTACCATGTTAGTTGGAGCAAATGATGCAATAAGGAACCCCAGATGCTGAACATGGAGCTTCGTGGTGTGGTATTCACTCAGGAGGGTTTCAGTCTTGTTTTTATCCACTTTCCTTATTATGACCCCATTCCTTTTCTTGTTGGAACAGAAATGGTTATTCTGTCACTGTATATTGAGTATAATTGTTCGTTTGTAATTTTACCCCCAGTCCCACAATACTTTAAGCTCATCCTGTTGAACAGTGTTTAAACAGTTAAAACCTAGGAGATTCTTGGAGACACTTTTTTTTTTTTTTAAACCATGAGATGCCCAGTAAGTCTTAAGAGAACCAGAAACAGGTTATAGTTTAAAAGTTGTGTGTTTGGGTGTCTTATTGTTGTAGAATATTATTTTAAGGTGTATTACTTTTGTTTATGTTGTATTTGTTTAACTCTGTGAAGCTGTGATACTTTGCCTGTCTAAAACACCTGACAGTCTAATAAAGAGTCGAATGGCTAATAGTGAAGCAAGCAAGAGAGAGAATATATAGAGGGAGAAATCTGGGAAAAGGGAATTGAACAGGAAGAGCCAGAGAAGAAGGAGGACATCAGGGGCCAGCCACCCAGCAAGTCACGGAGTAAGAGTAAGATTTACAGAAGTAAGAGAATGGAAAAAGCCCAGAGGAAAAAGGTAGACGGGATAGTTTAAAGTTAAAGAGAGCTGGCAAGAAAGAAGCCAAGTTAAGGCTGGGCATTTGTAATTAAGAATAAGCCTCCAAGTGGGATTTATTTGGGAGCTGGGTGGCTGGCCCCCTAAAAGAGTAAAAAACAGCCAACATCTTAGGACAGGACTTAAAATCATCAAGAACAGTTTCTTTTTTTCTTTTAAAAATTGATTATTTTTATTTACGTGTATGTGTGCCTGCATTGGTTTATATATACCATGTGCTTGCGGATGCCCACAGAAGACAGAAGTTATTGGATAGTCTGCAACTATAATGACAGGCTGCTGAGTTGACTGATGTGGGTACTGGGAATGGGGCGTGGGTCCTCTAAAAGAGCAGTAAGTATCCTAACTGCTGAGCTATCTTTCTAGGCCCTAGACCAGTTACTTAAACTACAGGTCACAACTTCATAGGAGGTCTAAATGTGGTGGTTGTCAAGATTTATCAAAAGGTTTCTGCATAAACAACAACCAACAATTCATTTAAACTCAAATGCATAACGAACCTGAGGTGTTTCTGTTAGTGCTTTGTTGGTGTTATATTGCGTGACATCATTTCAGCCTTAGTTCTGGACATGTAACATAGACACTATGCACTGCATGTGCCAGCAAAGCTGCCTTAAACAACTAGCTCAGATTCCTACAGTGTCTTTACTGGACATACAAAGTTTTCTCTTTAGAGAAGCATAAAGGTCTAATTATAGAAAATGGACTTTCAGCCACATGGTGGTGGTGCACACCTTTAATCCCAGCACTCAGAAGGCAGAGGCAGTTGGATTTCTGTGAGTTTGTGGTCAGCCTGGTCTACAGAGTGAGTTCCAGGAGTTTCACAGAAAAACCCTGTCTCAAAAAACAAAAAAGAAAAAAAAAGAAATTTTTTAATATTTTTAAGCCGTTACTCTTCAGCACAGACATGTAAGACTGGTAATCTTTGAACTGTACTGTTTGAATGTTTGATTTTAAAAATTGCTGTTTAAATAGCTAGATTGAGTTTCATAAAAAATTTATTAAATGAATTTTGGTTTGGGATTGGGACAGCTTTTCCAACAATTTCTGAAATAGCACAAAACATTCATCTGCCATTTTATGCTATGTATTCATGTAAAGCAGTGTTCTTAGCATTGATGACTACAAAATAAAAAATGAATCAACTCTGAAAAACACTGAAGATGTTCTATTTCTAGGGGTATTCAATATTCAGCTGACATGGTATAACAAAGTGCCTTATGTCCCCACTGCCATGATGGACGGTATCCCTTCAAACCATGAGCCCAAATAAACCCTCCCTTAAGAAGCTTCTTGTCAGGTATTTGGTCACAGCAAGGGAGCAGTAGCTAATATGGATGGACAGGCAAGAGGCAGAATGGCCTATTTTCAATGCTCAGCTTCCCCAAAATTACACACCTGAAGCAGTTTGCCATCCACACCGTAGATGCCACCTTCCACGCCATGTGAGAGGAGTGCCACTATGCAGGAGTCTGTGACCCGGTGTGCAGGCAACTGTGCAAAATTCTGAAGTTTCTCTTGCATTTCCTAGAAGACAGAGACACCTGCTAGTGCTGTTCACTACAGTCAGCATCAATGTAGACACTAACCTCTGGCTTGTTTGAAACCCTACCTACAGAACATTAAAGTGTTTTTCTGTATATTCCTATGATCACTGATAAGGTACAAACTCTCTGAAAGGCTAAAGAAAACTATGCACTCACGAGAAAAATGCACATGACTTCAGTTATCAAACTCTGAATACAGAGTCACAGGGTCACTGAAATAGGTAAGAACTGCTGCATTAAAGCGAATTACTAAAGAAGCTACATAATGTGTGGGGGGATAGCCCCATAGGTAGGGCATTTGCCATTAAAGTAGGAGCCTTAGAGCTTGTATCCCAGAACATGAGTGATACTGGGTGGGGATAGGGCTTGCCTGTAATTCTAACACCTTGAAGGCAGACATGAGGAATTCCTAGAGGAGTCTGGCTAGCTATTAGTCAGTCACACTGGAAAGCTCTGAGTTCAACTGAGAGACCTTGCTTCAACAAGTAAGGTAGAAAGTGACCAAAGACTCCTGAAATCAACCCTAGGACCTCTAAACACACATACACACATGCGCATGCCTCAACACATGTCAACACAAACACATACACGTTAAAAAAAATATTTCTCAGTTCATCTTATCAAGATACAAAGAAAATATTACGAGGATGAATCTGCTCCTAAGCAGAGCAGTCACAGCACACAGCCTCCTACTTACCACCCCTCCACTCTCAATAAGCAGCTCACCTGTGCATGCTTTGGAGTTTCTAAAGGTGTGAGTTTCCAAAGCAGCAATTGCAGCAGCACCCAGAACTTGTGCAAAACATGAAAGTCTAAGCTTCAGCAAACTGTTTTCATAAACTCTCCCACTAATTCTGGTATTTCAAAGTTTAAGAGCTGTTAATCAAAACCAGACATGGTGGTACACACCATTAACCCTAGTACTGTGGATACTGGAGGCAGAGGCAAGAGGATCTCTGTGCCAGCCTGGTCTACAGAGTGAGTTCTAGGACAACCAGGGTTGTTACACATAAAAATTTTGTCTCCAAAACCAAAAACAAAGCACAACAAAAACAAACAAACAAAAGAGTTGCTAACTATCTGCTTGGAAATACTTAGGTTTTTTTTGTTTTATTTTGTTTTTGTTTTTTGAAGACATGGCCTTTCTATGTAGCTCAGGCTAACCCAGAACTTACTATGCAGCCCATACTGGGTTTGAACTCTCAATCCTCCTGCCTCAGTCTCCTAAGCTAGTGCAGGGATCACAAATGCTCATTATCATACCTGGCCTGTTTGGATACTTCTGCTTGAATACATTGTAATAACTGGGGATGGTGAAATTGGTTTTGGTGAGAAAGATTTTTCTGGGTAAGTAGAAGCAAGCCACAGCATAGTATTTGTTTATAAAATATATAATTTCACAAGAATGAGTAACTACAAGTGCTCTATGGAAAAAGTTAATTTTGTTTGAAGAATGTAATAAAAACTATATATATAATATACATACATTATATATATATTTGGCCATCCTAAACTTGCTGATTATTACATCAGCAAAAAGGAAGATAATAAAGCTAAGTACATATATACTTCGTAACTGAGTGTAAAATAAATCATCCAACAAATATAGATTAGTTATTTGGGTGGATTTTTCTACAAGTGACATACCTTAAAATATAATCTGTAGATTTAATTTTTAATAAAAGTATAGTACTTCTATAAATAGCAGGGTTTGTAGCTCTTGGGGGATATTTTGGCTGGGGGCTGGAGATCATATGAGGAGTATAATATCTATAAATGCAAAGCTATATAGATATATATTATAGATATATATATATATATATATAGATAGATAGATAGATAGATAGATAGCTGCCATTTTCCAGGGATAACACATACAATATCCTTACATTCTCCTAGCCATCTGTAACCCAAATGCAAATTAAAAAAACAATAGCATATGGTGAGAGTAAAACTTACCACTTTAGAACACACCTTCACTTGCTAATGTGTTAAACTGTGATTCAAGAGTCAAGTAACCTCCTGAGGCAGACACAATACACATTTGATGACAGACACTGAATACATAACTGAGTGGTAAAAGTTAGTGTTCTCTTCAGCACCAACAGCAGAAAGATTCTCTATAATTAATTATACTATTTTATATTTGAAGGGAATTATCACTAGGCAAAAAGGACTGATAATGATAAAAAAGAGGGTCTTAGATTTCTTGGTCCTGTTTCTCTGCTTGCTAAATAATCATATGATAAAAAGTCAGTCTTCAGAGAGGCCCTACTGGAAGAGGGCATTCTGTACATTCCCAATGCAGCAAAGTATGATATTCTCAGCAACCACCTGGCTTATGACATGTTCATATCATTTGCACACTGCTCTCCTGCCTAGGCTATCTCCTTTAGGAGCGTCAGTAACTTCCGACTGCTCTATCCACTCTTCTGACCTCATCTACTCAGGTGGTTTTTACTTTCACCTCCTGTAAGAATAGAAGCTCTAGCTCTGTTAGTGATACATGGGAACAAACAGATGTTGAGAGCTCACTCCACATCTATCCTTGAATTCAGAACCACATTACATCTGTGTGTGTGCTAACAGCCTTCAAATTACAAAGTGCTCAAAATTTAGCTTCACTGCAACTCAAGTGACAGAAAAACTTGGTAATGAGAACTCAGAATCCCTTGAATCTGCCTTAAATACAGCCTAAATGGAAATGGCCTATAAAAAGTACAGCTCATGGACTCATAAAGTCTCCCGAATGTCTCTAAAAACAGCAGCATTCAACTATATTAGTGACACAGTACTGAATCCTTTATCAGGCATCTAAGAGGCATTGTCAAACATACTATTTAGAAAACCATGGACAAAATGGTTTCCTAGAAAATTATAAGGAATGGACAGACCATATCCTTAGAAAACAAATAACAGCACAAATCTGGTTAGGTGACCTTCCACTTCCCTCAAAAGTAACTGAGGTGGACAAGTGACCTACTTCTGTCCCTTTGATGGTGGGAAAAAGTTGTTCCAGCTATGGCTTTTGTTCTTCCTGGTGCAGGGGATTGAATTCAGGGCTTTGCATATGCTAGGCATTTGCTCTAACCACAGTGCCACAATCTCAACTCCCAGCTACAGCTTTGAAGCAAGAATGGATCTATTAAATGGGCAATTATGGCCATGCTGGCAGGAGTACCATGTCAAGAATAGCACTGAAGTACCTACCAATGAAACCGGCCACACCCAAGGCATAGCAAATACATAATTCTTCTCAAGGAGGGGGACAGCCAAGATGACCACAACAAACTCTCAATACAAAAACCAGGATCCTCTACCTCAAGGGGCCAAAGGGAATTTTTTTTTTTTTAAAGACAGGGTCTCATGTAGCCTGGCTGCCACCCTTCAACTTACTATGTAAAGAAGGCTGGTCTTGAACTGCTGATTCTACTTCCTCACCATGGCTTAGAATTCCAAATTATACCTCTGATAAGCCCAAAGACCAAGTTTAGGAACATACCATTATAGAACAAAAATAGTTGAGAATAATGTACAAATAGATTCTTATTAATTTCAAAACAGAAATCCTAAAAGTAGCGAAGTGACCAGTGAAGCTCAGAATGAAGTCAGTGAGGACCAGCCCACTTAATAGGAAATGCTTATGTCATATGAGACCTGTCCAGAAGCAGCCTACCCTACAACAATCCAACACTGACTTCATCAGACTATCACTAAATAGTATTTGCATATATTTTTCTACTTGCAAGAACTCAATCTGCCAAAAGTAATGATTTAAACAATAATTGAGATCTTAAGTAATGGTATCAACGGTGAAGTAAATGCCTGTGTAGCCTGATTTATAAATATCCTTTCAGAGTTTGTTTGGAAGGATCTCAGTCTCATCACTTCCTGAGTGACTGGGAGTCAAGTTTCTGAACACACAAATGTGGGAACCCAACCCTGGACTATGGAACGCCATGAAAGCACAGCTACCCTGAGACAGCAATGTTCAGACGACCGGCTGGCCCTACTTCTTTTTACTAGATTGCAGGAAGCAGCAGAGAAACATCCAGCAGGCACAAGAGGAACAGAAGAAGCACCTAGCTCCAAAGTGCAGCCCACCCCTGATTTACATGTCAGCCTTCCCAGCCTCAGATACCTGTGCAGTCTGATCATGTAGAACATGGACATTATAGCCCAAAAGCTTGAAGAGGGTGACTAGAGTATTGTGGTCCACATCCCCTCCAGAGCGAAATTCCAGGTCTTTCTCTCCAGTGAAGTGTACATTACTCAACACCAGCGCCAGGCCACGAGGCTGAGACTGTAATCTATAGGCCTAGAAGGAGGAGGGCAATTAGACCATGAGCTTCTTGATGACAGGCAATGCGGCTACCCCGTGAGATCAAGCATTTCAAAACACAACCCCAACAACAACCCTCATCCCAAAAGCAGACAACTCTGCAAATCCAACTTCTGCTAATTTTCACCATACCAGGTACAAAGAAAATGCCACAGAAGGTGTCAATCAGCAATGACTTTCTGACAAGGCAGCAAGAAAACATGCAAACTTGGTTCAGAAGACCAGGAAAAGTCTCTCACTCCCCACCTCTCCTTGAAATTATGCAAACTCACCAGCTGGTAATGTGCTTCATAAAACTCAGGAGTGCATGGCTTCACCTGAAGGCAGGGAGGACCATCACCATTGTCTAAGGAGTGTTCCGTAGTACCTGTGGTAGGGAGAATGCCAAAAGCTAGTAGACATTTCAGCACTGCTCTTTACAACTCCCCTAATTAATCATTTTAGCTGTAGGCTGCCCTTTAAACTGAGGTTTGAATGAACACTGTTCTATTCCTCCAACATGTAAGTCTCATGCCGGCATAGACCCTGTTGGCTTCTGCTCATCACTAGGACCCCACATGTGGCTTCATACAGAAGATACTCAACTCGCTGAATGATGGAAAGGGCTTCTGAGACAAGCCTGGTTATAATCACCTCAGTATAAATAGGGAGCCCTGAGTGTAGTGGCCTTTTCTTGTTTGGCTTTAAAGAAAAGACAAGTCAAATCACACACAGGAAATCATAGTTCCCACCTGAGTAAATTGCACAAAAAGCCAACTGTTCTGAAGAATACTACCTCGGATGGAGGGAAATGGGGTCCAACTTACATCCCTTCTAGCCTGCCCTGTTAGCATGTCAAAAGTTCATAAAGAACTGTTCCTATCATGAAATATACCTCACCTTTAAGGGGAAATCAGACACCATTCAGAAAGCAGGTAAGTCAGTGTGGGAGAGTCCTTCTGTCCCATTCATTCTCACCTGTGGATAGGCGGAGCTGCTTGTGAGGGGGGCAGGTCTCACACACCGAGAAAGGGAGACTTGTGTCATAGTCACAGCTCAACTGTAAGAGATCAAGATTCACCTCAGCGAGATGGTTCTGTCCAAATTAAATAACATCCAGTTTCTCTCTCCCTGGGCCCCCTGCTCCATTTCCTTTCTGGTCAAACTAACCCGTACCAGGATACATTTCTAGGGTTTCATACCGGCGGAAGTGCATGCTGAATATCAGAGAGAGTTGTGAGCAGTAAGTCTTCCAAGTGACTTTGCCTGGTGTCCCGCAGGGCCTCGCAGAAAGCATCAAAAGCCTGGGGACCCCTCTTGGGCAGCAGGTTGAGGAGTTCCACATTCTGGCTGAAACTGCCCCCTTTGGCCTAAGGCACAAAAATAAAACATTACATTTACTTATCTAGTTATAAATGCTATTTTTCCACATGAGTTTTCTAAGTAGTGTTCTCATCCGTCTTAGGAATTCCTTTCTACAGAGTGAGTGTGCACAGGTGACGTTTTCTGTCCCATTCTCAAGGCTGAGAAGGGCATTCCATTTCCTTAGTCAGGGAGCACATCCTTTTCAAAGGTTTTCTCCGTCCCACCCCTAAGACAAGTTTATCTTCTTGGCGCCTTTGTCACCTCGATACCTGGATGAGCTCCCTCATTTCCAAAGTGATGATGTCCTTTTCTAGGAGATGTTCTAACAGTTCACTCAGCAGCAGCTGTTTGGCCAGCACCACGCGGTTCTTTTTCAGAGTTTCCTGATGGTCAGGATGCATACCACAGACTGCCAGTATCCTAGAGAGAAGGCAGACAGAGGGATTGTCAGGTAAGCCTGGACACAGAAGAGGAGCAGAGAGGTGGGTAAGAACAAAATGGACTTAGGAGAAGATGAGGCATGTTTTGCTAAATCTCTTTAAATCAAAATGTACTAAGGAGTAACATAGTGACCCTAAGGAAATAAGGTATAATTCTCTAGAGAAAGTTTACATCAGACTATCTGAAATAATGACCTGACTAGGAGAGGAAACAGCTATCTTGGTCAAATTAATATAAAGAAGCTATATATCCAAGATATATCCAAGAGAGGAAACATCCCTCTCATAGGCAAGCTCTAACCTTCAGAAAAAATGGCATACTTTTTTCTTAGAAAACTAACCTAAGTCAAAAATGATCTTAGGACAGAAATAAAAGAGAAAATGTAAAGCCAACAGCCATGTTTCTAACACTAACACACACACACACACACGTTCTCTAGACTGCTTACAAAAATTATATCAAAAATATTTTACAATTCCATGATAAATACTAAAAAGTGATCAAAATAATACAAGGTATGGGTAAGCAGAAATTGACAAAGCCACAGTAGTTAGATACCAACGATGATCACAACATAACTTGTAATCACAAGGATAGTGCAAGCAATGGTTAGATTATTTTGGTGATTTAGGTTACCAGCAATAGCTGTATCTGACAGAGTTCCTAGTTTTGCTCTCAAGTTTGGAAAGAGACCTGCTTCTGCTCATGAATAAAAAAATCCCATTTCCAATATTTGTCCTTTATGTGCCCAATTTATATATATATAAATATAAATATATATATAAATATATATATAAATCCAGATCTCCAGTTTGTTTAGTACGAGACAATGCTTAGGGTCTGATGGCAGTAGAGGTGATATTGTAACAGGTTCACTTTATACAACAAACATTTTTAGATGCATCCTGATTTCAAAGGGGGTAAAATATAGGGGAGCAAATAAGCATTTTCAATCAGTGAAATACCAAGCATTGGTCGAATGGCCCTAGCTTAAAGACTCCTACAGTTAGATGGGAAAACAGGGTCCTGTGAAATTGTGTTAGCAAGAGGTATACAGGCAGATCAAGTATTTAGAATGTATCTGCTATTTCAAAATTCACTGGAGCCTGCTATAACAACGTCTCCATGAATTTAAAACTTCAGTTAAGAATCATCTTACAAGTCAAAAACACAGTAATGGGGCTAAATATAAAATCTGGTGAAAATAAAACTAACACTGCAGCTGTTGGTTGGGCATATCCTTAGGCACATAATCAATGGTACAGCAGAGTTCTTAGTTCATCAGGAACATTCATTTCTTCAAAGGTTGTCTTCTCTTAGCTCCCACACTACCGTTCTCTCCAGGGCCACACAGCTCAACACACTCTGGTTTCCTTTAGAGGGCATTTGACCTGTTCCCCATCACCCCCTTCCCTTTGATAGGACTAGGCCTGAAGCTGTGTGTAGATCAAGCAAGTCTAGAGCTTCTGACCCACTTGCCTCAGCCACCAGGGTGCCAGGGTTACAGCCCCGTAGCCTTTAAATGCTGACAAGGCACTGGGACTCCCCTGCAAAAAAAGCCTCTTTCCTGGACAATTTCATCCCCACGCACAACTTACTGACTCCAGTTCTGAACCCTCTTATGTCCCAGACCTGAATTTTGAACCAAGGAGTCACCAGTTTTTATCTGAAGCACCACCCATTCCGCACACCTGCTACTTCCTTTATTTCAAACTACGAGAAGAGGCTTAAATATGAACTTTCCAAAAGTTTTCAATCACCTGGAATTTTAGGAAACCCGTGGGAAGGGGAATGAAGAGAAACGACATCAAGAGGATTCTAATGTTTTGATTCTGTGTCCTCCGAAGGCTCCCGTTTCTAAGTTAATGTTACAGATTTGAACAGGAAACATTACATTCTGTCCTCCTGTGCCATGTTTGCATCAAAACCGACTGGGGAGAAGGCGAAGACACCGGGACCATCTAGCCCTCTTAAAGGATTCCAATCCCCTACGCCTGTGTGGAGTTCTCTAACAAACATCCATTATATGGAAAGCAGTGCAGGTCACGTTACAGTCAATCCAAACCCAAAGCGCCCCAGGCCGAGCAGCGAAGTCTGCAGAAGGTCTCCTCGGCTTTTGAGGAGACTCGAGTTTACATCCTCAGGCGAGAACTGGAGGGTAAAGGACGGAGCATCTTTTCCAGAGACGCCGCAGGCGAGATCTGGCGGGACTGACAAGACCCACTCTGGTACTGACTCCCCGGCGCCGGACAAAGGGAGGCTGCCGCAGCCTCTGCCCACGCGGGACCAGGCCGAGAGGCCGCGCCACTCGCCCGGCCGCCTCCCGCGTCCTGCCCTGCCCTCCTCACCTGCTCCTCCTGTCTGCCGCCATCAGCCCTTTCCGGTGCAGAGTGGACTGCGACCTCCCGCTCGGCGCGGCCATTTCCAGCTTTTCCCCCGGGCTGCACACGTACCACCCACAACACAAACAAACCCCGGGCCCCGCCAGCCCCCGCCTCCCTCCCCCAGCCTCCCACCCTCGCCGCGCCTGCGCAGCGCCCCGCCCCGGCGCCAGCAGGCCCCACCCCCGCCGGGGCCCGCGCAAGCGTACACGGCTTGCGGGGGCCCGCGCAACCCAATGGGCAGAGAGGAGGCTCTGGGCGGAACGGGAAAGGGCGGGGAAAAGAGCGGGGCTTCTCCCACCGGGGGGTCTGATTGGCTATGGATTCCCGCGGAAACCGCAGCCCCCCTCCCCCTCCCCCCGGCACCTCCCTCCTCCCCCTCTCATGCAATAACTTCCAGGAGACCTAAGGGGGCTGGGCTTCTCCTCATTGTTCGCCTAGAACTTCCAGGGTCGGGGGTGCACGGGAAATGGAAAGCACTAGAAGGCGCGCTTCTCCGAAGCTGGGGGTGCTCTTGGCCGCACTTATCCTACCCTATGTGGCCTCCCGTTCTGTCTGTATTTAGATTTCTCTCTCTACCAGTTGTCCCAAGACGAGATTATCAAGTCGTGTGGATTGCCCAGTTGGTATTGAAAACAATAGGCACTGGAATTGGGATTTGACTCTTGATCTTTTTACTAGCCTCCTGTCCCTGTGCAAGCTATTCAGCTCCCCTCACTCTTAGACTCTCTCCTTACCCTGGTAGGTAATACCCCACCAGGAATCTAAGCGAGGCTTGATGAAGCACAGCTGTCACTCCGAGGTACCGCTCCAGTTTCTCTTGATCACCTCGCTCCTCGTCTTTCACCTTACTCTGGAAATGCTGGTCATCAGGTAGGCTCCAGAATGTTTCCAGAAGAATCCAGGTGTGCCACCTATATCTCAACTGGGAAGGACTTGCCGTAGCCTGACTCCCCGCTGGTTTGAAGGTCCCATCTGTGATGTCCGGGCCAAACCGGTTTCTGATGAAGTAGATATTAGGACATGCTGGGCAAATGAGTGCAGAAATGAGAGGTTCTGAGAGCATCGCTTAGGGAAGTATCCTTTTATCTTCATAGAAAACATTGTCATCGTCAGGGTGAACAAAACAGATTTCGTAGGCAGGGGGTGGAGTAGCGGGCTCCAATTTGGGGGCCACCCGCAAGCTTTGCAGATCAGGAGCAGTGGATACAACTCGTGGACCCCTAAGTCGAAGAGGTCTTCCAGGGTTTCCTCTGCGAGTCATTGTCCCCTCTGAGCCCACTCGCCTTTTCAGCCTTCCTGGGCTGGGCCTCTCGAGCTGGCTAGGCTGCGCCCCCTCAGCTCCTGGCGATATTACAACACTGTTGTAAGGAGGTGGTTGCTCCAGCTCTTGGAGGTGGTGCTGTGACTGTGAGTCCATCACCACCACCGCCTGCTCATAGGTTGGCACCTCAAAAGCTGCATTGTCCCTGTGGGAGGAGAAATACGGTCATGAGTGGCTGCCTGAAAGGAGTCTTTTTTTTCGCCCTTTCCACTCTTGCAAAAGACCGTCTAGTGTCTGCTCACTATTGCTCTTAATAATACCAGTGACAGAGGAAGGCAGAATCTAGGCTTAAAAAACCAAAGGCAGAGAGGGAATAAGGGCCTATGGCAGTGGTTCTCAACGCGTGGGTCACGGCCCCTTGGAGGTCTTATCAGATATTCTACATCTCACATTATGGTTTGTAACAGTAGCAGAATTAGAGTTATGAAGTAGCAATGAAATAATTTTATGTTTAGGGGTCACCACAACGTGAGGCACTTGTATTAAAGGGTCCCAGCCTTAGGAAGGTTGAGAACCACTGGCCTAAGGGCGTTTTCCTGTCATCCTGCTCTCCCCATTAACTCACCGTGCGTTGCCCGAGGCCTCCGGATTCTCAGTCTGCCTTGAGCGCTGCCTTGATTGGAGGCCCCGCTCCACAACACAGGCCAGGAGGCAGGCAAGAAAGCAGAAGCCAGCCAAGCAGAGGAAGAAATAAGAAGCAGGGGCCACATCAGGCTGGATGACCAGTAAAGCCAGCCCCAGGAGGAGCGAGGCACTGCTCAGGAAGAGAAATGGCTGCTTCAGTTTTCCCCACAACTGCCTCGGCACCATGGTCCCTCCCAGGGCACCTGCAGAAAGACACACACCTGTGTGTTAGCTAGCCATTGGCACCACAGCACTGCCAGACCCCAAAGTAAAAATAGGCTTCTCTGTTTAGGCTCCCGGTTTTCAGTCTGAAAGAAATGATCTTCAGGGCCTGGGGGGAAGTGGGGGAGGTCTCCATCATTCTTTCTAGGTTATCGGTGTGGAAAGCTGGGAAACTAGTCCAGTTCGGACTCTCAGCCTCATGTGACTTTACTACATACGCCATGGCACTGCCTGCTGCGTTCCTTGCTTTCTCTCTCCCCTGCAGTCCCCCTTCCAGCTCCCAAGTACACCATGCAGGATCCAGGGCCAGTTACCTTGCCTGTGGCCTCTGCACACAGGCATCTCTGGAATCCAGGTGATGGGTCAGGCTTTTCCCTTTTCCTGTTCTGATGAGACCTTCATTCTTCTCCTCCCAGTTAGAGTCCTCCCCCCCCCATCCCCACCCCCACCCCCCAGTATGGCCCTGCTGGACAGAGGCAGAGGGCCCATCACTTACCTGTCAGCCAGACTTTGGCTGTCTGCTACAGTTGAGTCAACCCATGATCATCACAAGGCCCCAGGAACACCACCTAAGTGAGAAAGAATCTTAGAAAGGCCTAAGCCAACCACCAGAAGGCCTAATGACTTTCTGCACCCCACGTAGTCCCGACCCGAGCCTCTTGCCCCAAGTCATTAAGCTCTGATGTCATTCAAGTTTCCTGTCAGCACAGAGGCTGGGAGGTTCGTAGGTAGGGGACAGCTTTTCTCTGAGAAAACAGCCAACAGTCAATCTCACGACAGCTCCCACCGGGCAAACTCACTGCCAGTGTCCTGAGATCGGTGTAGCAAGAACTCGCAGACCCTCTCCGCCCACACCAGCGGGACGCCTGCCGCCTGCGCCCCGCCCCTTCTGGAGGCCCCAGGAGCTCTGGCTCACCTGTCTCTTACGGACGGACGCAGAAAACCGGTCTCAGACCTGGAAATCAGGGCCAGAAGGAGGAGCCCACTTGCCCCACCCTCTCTTCTGCCCCAATCCTTCCTTCGGGCCTAGTTTTTCTCCACCCCGTTCTCCCAAGACTGACCTGTTACTGCTCCACCTTACCTTTCCCTTCCCCCACCACCAAAGCCCTGCCCCCTCGGCTCTCTATGGTCTTTGTACTTAGGACTGGAATGGAATTAAGTCTTCCCGTCCTTTTACTCAAAGCATCTTGGGTGCTGATCACAATCCTAAGCACAAAGTACCTTCAGATTGGTTTTGTACTTGTCTTTCCTGAATGACTGGAGCCGAGACAGTGGCGTATTTAGAATACTGGGTACAGAGGGAGCCATGGTCGAAATCGGAGTGGTGCATCCTGCCTCTGATGCTGTGTCTGTGGATTCTTTGTCTGGGGAGGGTCGGAGGTGTGCTCTTGCTTCCCAGCTCAATTGACCGGCTTCTTACAAATCCAGCTCCTAGCTGAAGCCTGCTTTGGAGTCTGCACTGCGTAACCACACCCTTCTTTTCTCTGCTCCAGCTTTTGCCTGGTTATATAGTATTTTCTGTTTCTTTCCTGTTCTACTTTGAGTTTCTCAAGAGAAATGATTCATTTCAATCTTCTTTGAATCCCCGAAAGTAAGTGGACTCTTGACACTGGAGAGATTCGTGCGGTTGAGTTTATGCCCTGACCAGGGGCTGTACCCATTCTAGTGCTCTGTTTGTGGGTCTGGATGTGAGAATGAGGGAGGGAGGTGGCTAGGGCCCTGCTGTGTCTCAGAGCCAGAATAGAATGAGTGGACTCTGTTCCTTCCCCTGCGTTAGCATTGGGCAAACCCAAGAGAGACTAGAATACAAATATAACACAGGGTCTCCAGGAACAGTTGTGTGGGCCATAGACAAGACTGATGGGGCGGAGGCGGGGGGGGGGGGGGGGGGGGGGGGGGGGGGGGGGGGGGGGAAAGACACACACACACACACACACACACACACACACACTATGGATTTGAGAATGAACATATCTGAGTAGTATATGTGGGTTGTGGTGAGACTTCTGAGTGAACCTCTGTCCGAGCTTGCTTTGGAGGAAAGGAGGGGCATGACAAGCTGTAGTCCCCATGTGAGGTGTATCTCTATATAAAGTAGGAATGGGGACAGGGAGGAGGGCAACTTGTACCAAAGTATTTCGTTTGTTTGTACCAGTTTCCTTACTATTCAGCTCATATGGAGAAAGTATAACTGGAATCCAGAATTAAACCCTCAGTTAATACTCCAATAGGAGGAAGCTGGTGAGGAAGTCCTTGGTATACATTGTAAGTTTTCTTAAGGTGTGAGCTGGGGAGGGAGAGGAATGGGGTAAGAGGCAAATGGCCAGAGGGTGTGGGTAGGAGTGTCTACAGCATGAGGACCTGGCTGTGCTCCTGAAGGGAGAGCTGGGACCTTTACAGCTTAAGGCTCTTGGTTGCCAGAGGAGGCTGTAACATTGAGATCTGATAACTGTGGTAAGCACTAGATGTAAGTCAGAGAGTCTGGACTGTCTCAGTCTGTGTTCTTTAATTCCCTAACCCAGTAACTTGAAATCAATTGCATTACTTTCAAAAAGTTATAAAAATATTTAAAAGAGAAAGGAAAATGAAGATTAATAATTATCGTGATACCCTTTAAAAGTTTTGTAATTCTAGGCTGTTCACAAGACAGACCATACTCTGGTTCATGCTAGTGTACACTCACTACTGTGCAACTGTAAAATGTTTTAGAAATTAGGCGGCATGTATTTCACCTGATGATAAAGTCTTTACTAGAGTAATTTCTGTCTAGGGATCAAACTCAGGGCCTTTCATAGACTAAGCAAACACTCAGCCCCATTAAGTTAGCTCTAAAATCCATGAAACATTTTATTGAATGGATATGCTATAATTCTGTTAACATACCATTTTGAAGTTTTAGTCAATAACAACCAGCTTTTAAAATTCACTTTAGCATTAAAAATGGTGCTAGAGGAGATAGCAATGAGGCTAGAGAGTGCCGGGGCCAGCGTAGGGGAGGAGCAGAGGAGCGGTTGTTAATGGGATTCTTGTGTCTTGACAGACATTCTAGCATTAGATGGTAGTGGTGACTTGTGCACTTCAAAGACTGCTCAGTGCAATGAACATCTTACATGTACTTTCTCCTAGTTTTTATGGATTGAATGATGAATTCTGAGAGGAGAATAAAATCTAATGTAAGTTTTTATTGAGAGACAAATAGATAACGAAAGTTTTATTGCCCTGAATACAAATGGCCAAAGTGTTCTCTAAGGCTGCACTTCCCTTTTCTTTCTCATCAGCTTAGTGGCTGTATCAGTTACTTTCCGGTGGCCCTGATGTTGATACTGGCTAAAGCAATTGAAGGGAGGAGAGGTTTATTTTGACTAAGGGTTTAGGGGTGTGAGGTCTTTTGTAATGGGAAAGATGTGGCAGCAGGAGCTTGCTCCTGCTGAGTGGATCAGGGAGCAGAGAATGGAGAATGCTGGTGTTCATCTACCTTTCCACTTATCTTCCTCCCATTTCTATTCTGTCTGGAACTCCACTCATGTGATAGGACTGCCTGCAGTCAGGGCAGGTATTCCCTCTCAGCTAATGCTCTCTGGAAACACCCTTAGACACACCCACTAATGTCCGAAGAGTTTTCTTTTGTTTCGAAATCCAATCAAGTTGACAACATTCACCATCACAGTATCTTTAGCCTTCGACAGATCCTACTGAGTTCCAGTTACTCCCTGTGCTTCATCTTAGGGGACTGTCTTAGGATTCTATTCTTGTGATAAATACCATAATCAAAAGGAACTAGGGGAGGAAAGGGTTTATTTTATCTTACAACTCCAAGGACATACTCCATCAGTGAAGCAAGTCAGGACAGAATCTCAACACAGGAACCGGGAGGCAGGAACTGAAACAGAGCCACGGAGGAGTGCTGCTTACTGGCTTGTTCCTTGTGGATTGCTCACCTTACTTTCTTATACAGCCAGAACTTCCTGCCCAAGGATGGCCCTGCCTGTAGTGAGCAGGGCCTTCCTACATCAATCATTAATCAAGAAAAGTGCTCTCACAGACTTGCCTACTGGCCAACATGAAGGAGGCATTTTCTTACTGAGGTTTCCTCTTCCCAGATGATCCTAGACTGTGTCAAGTTGAGAAGGAGAACAACAATAACAACAACAAAAAAAAAACCCTACCATCACCAAAAACCCCAAACCAACAAACAAAGAAAAAACAACCAAGATAGGGATGGTGGCGTGATAAGCCGAAGAGATAATAGGTTCTTGATGTGATTGCCAGGCAGGGAGATGCAGCTGTCCTCTGTTGTGTGTTTATCTCTGTGGCCTCTTAATTCTGCAGTGTTGTAGTTGTGAATCTGGATCTGTGGCTAATGTGTAGGGTGTTTGGTGTGTACGGCTCACTGTGTTGAAAACACAAAGTAAGAAACATAATGGGTATAATATGAAATAGTTACTGATAATTTCCACTTTATGGATGAGGTCAGAAACTTAATGAATATAGAGCTGGGGATGTAGTTCAGTTGGTAGAGTGTTTTTGCCTAATGTGCATGAGACCCTCGGTTATCTTTAGTAGGGCGTGAACTCATTGTAGTGGTAGTACATGTCTTAGTTACAGCACTCAGGATAGAAGGAGGAGAAGCAAGAATTCAAGGTCGTTTTCAAATATAGAGAATTCAAGGCCACTAGCTTGGACTAAATGAGACCCTATTTCAAATAAAACAGGGAACACAAATGGTAGGGGTTGGGTCAATTAGAACCCCAATTCTTAATCACTGTATACCTCATCAAATACTTTTGGGGGACACTTGTAATGATAACTTCATAAAAATGCCTCTGACATTCTACAATCATTACTCTGCTCTTGCCCGAGGAATGGTTAGTTGAAATATTTCCTCCTATTTGGCATCATGAGAGAAGGCTGGTACTGAGGTATTACCATATGAGGCAGAGTGGGAAAGTATGAGTGCAGTACTCCATCAAGATGCTAACTTCCCATCACCTAATTAAGATGGAATAGGCATAGACTCGATGCTGATGGTTCTTTTTAAAGCATGCTACAGTTTGGACATAAAGTAGCACCCTTGGTCAATGAGGGGAAAGTGGACCAGGAGGATGCTGACTCTATTAAGAGATTGATCCATTGATGAATTCATAGCTGAATAAAGTAGGAGGGAGGGCATTGTTGAAGGAAGTAGGTCATGGGAGCATGACTTTGAAGGATGTATTTTAGCCCTAGATCCTGCCTTTATCTTTCTTTCTGCTTCTTGACCACTGTGAGGTGAGCAGCCTCCTCTGCCTGACACTTTGGCCACCTTTCCTTAGCCTAAAGTAATGGATCCAGCTGACTTGAGCCTACGGAAACCATGAGCCTAAACCAACCTTCTTTAAGTTAATTTCT